CTACGCACCCTTGAAAATTATAATTTTTCAATATTAACAAAAATGTTTATGCTATATTACAGAATCGCAGCATATTAGTACTCATATAATAATACTTGTACTCAATTATAGAAAAAAGTAAATTCTCTGTTTTTATTATTATTTTCAACATTAAATGAAACTAAAGCTTTGATAAAGAAAATAAGCTTCATTTTTATTTAAATCTGTATTAAAAAACAACGTTTATAATGTAGAGTTTGATGTTAGATTTTTTTTACTGTAAACATCTAGAGGTATCCCTGAAGCAGAAACATCATTTACTATAGTTTTTCATGGAACAAAGTCATTAGAAGAAGAAAAAATTGTAATTTTACCTAGTTCTCACGGCGAAATCTGAACAGAGGGTTCAGAAATTTCCAGTTAAAACATTAGAAATTTTTTCAAAGACGATCTGTTAGCCTTGAAAAAGTAAAATGGAACAACGATTGTGAAATCTCAGACTCGTCAATCTTTGGACCAGTTGGTCAATATTTTCAAAATATTTAGCACAAGGTTCCACCCCCTGCTGTATCGGCACGCGACCCAGCTTTTACTCACGGTAGGACATTTTTGTAATTCACTTAAAGCTTACTGATCTGTCTTTGTACTATTTTTTCACCTACATATTGAACAGTAGGTTTTAACCTTGACCTATACATAGTTATACATCTCTCATGGCCATTTTATATCCAATTAGCTAGCAGTCACTGCAGGGAAGAAAGAAGTTTCATTGAAACATAAATAATTTCTGGTAGGGTACGATTTTTGTTGTACCTCTATGACCCTTTCTCATATAAGTTCATCATCCTAGCTCTTTTGTTCATCTCCCCATGCTTGAAGTTTGTTATAAAAGTCTTGGGCTTCTGAATTATATTATAAATGATTGCTTACTGTAATCATCCTAATTCTTTCATGCTATCATTTATTTATTATCATCCAATAAAAATTAAAATTAATTGATTTTATAAGTCGTATAAATGATCAAGTAACTAATTATTTTTCTATGACATTTATTTCAATTAGAGAACATATATTATTAACAAAATCTATGATATAGATAGACATATAATTGACAGTACAATTCACATCGTAATTCAAGTAAAGCACTATAATACTTAGCAGCTATTAGTTTTTAATATTAACCAAGTTTTGCAATCTTAATAATAACAATTAATTTTTTAAAATTATGTTAAATATTAATAAAATAATATTAATTATTAATATTCAAATAAACTATTCTAATTCAAATAAAAATTAGCATTTGAAAACCCAGTTTATGCAAAAAAAAACTATTTTTAATTTTCTTAAAATCATTTTATATTAAAATTCGCATTGAATTTTTATGTTTAACATTTTCTGTACTTTTTAGATTGATATTTTTTGTACAAACTAACATTTAAAACGTTTAAACAATTCAATTACTTTTAAATAATAACATAAAAGAAAAATATTGAATTGAAAATACTAACAAAAGTACAATAGAACTTGTACTTGCATGACGTCCTGAAAAATAACTTGTCTTTGATGTTTCTCCTAATTTTCACCATTAGTTTCTATAATTTGACATCATTAAAATACAGACCTTGAAGATAATGTATTTAAACAGCTTAAAAATCTTTTTCTAAAGAAATTCAAGTGTATCGAATGTAGGAAGAATTGACGTCAAAATATTGTGTCAAGGCCTTCGCCAAATTTTTTTCGACGAAGGTAAACATCCTGCTGAGTAGCTGCTTATTTTTCTAGTAATCTAGCATCTAAACTCATGACTCTTTGATGTTCTATACATCTTCATCTACAAAAGACTGTTGTTAGGTCTTCTACAAGTATTTGAGAAAGAAAAAACGATGATATCTCTGATGCGAGTATAACGTTTGGAATTGGTCCAATCCGGCAATTGGTGAACCTTCCACATTTTTATCTCCCCCAAGTGATAAGAATACTCGACGCCATGTTGGCTATTATAGGGCGTGTAGGATTGCCATTTTCGTGCATTCTTTGGGTAAGAACATGAAGATAGAATGCGAATGAATAAGATGAAAATTCATGGTAGGGGCGCTACTGAGACAATAAAAAAAATTATCAAGATAAATTTCTTATACCATATAGATTCGACCAATTTATATCCAATCTTTTTATCGTTTCTGTATTATCTCTTCATTCGAGATAAACTAAATAATCCAAATCATACCAATATATATATTTTTATAAGTGATAGCAGCGTCAGCTATATTCATTATTGGATGATAAAATTAACTTTTCTTCTTTTGTTCGAACAATAATTAATTCTTCTTCTCAAACTCTCTGATAAACAAGCAATCATAGGTTATCAATAAATATTAAAAATATAAAATTTCATCTATTAACCAATTTTAATTTTACTTTTTCTAAAGATTAAATTCCATTTTTCATGAAACCTTATCAAAATTAAGTAAAAGTATCTTACTTCAGTTAATAAAATAAAATCAATATGTATTATGCAATGTTAGTTTTATTATTTAATTATAAATTATAAATAATAAAATGATGTAGGAAATGAGTATATAATTGTATTTTTTTATTCACCATTATTCGGCTTTTTCCGAAGCGCCACAGAATGGAGAATGAAAAAAGGAGATTTAGAGGGAAAATGAACTAGGAGGTTCTTTTTGTTATTTATGAGGAAACATGATAATAGCACGTATGATGGGACTCCTTCCCGCTAGTGAGGGCAATCTTCATTGTGTTGCCTTGGCAACCATGAAAAGGATGGAGGAAAGAGGCAAGGGCAGAGTACTCTGCCATGTTGGTCTCCAGCCAGCTATCGATAATAGTAGAGATAAACTTTTTTTTATTTTCCATTTTATAGGTATTTATCTATTTTTAGTTTAAATGATTTTTTATATCTTTTTTATGTTTATCAATTAGTTACCTCAGTTTTGTTTAAATTATACAGTATCATTTATTACTAAATTTTACTCAGTTAAAATTCAGTGATACAACAATACGCTTTGGTCATCCAAACAATAGTAATTATTTATATTAAAATAACAATTCTTATGAAAATGAAAAGTTTTCTTCAAAGAAATATTTGTTTTCTGGAAAAGGATATGAATTTTTTATTGAGAACAGTTAGTCTGTTTAAACTAATTATCTAAAACGAAGAAAAATGTATTGAAAATCTTTTACAAGTAGTACGAAAGCCGCTGTTAATTCATTATAGCTTGGACGGGCATTAAGTTAAAACCTTCTTCTCTGCATAGAGAATTGACGTCGAGGAGTTTTAACTAGAGAATGTATACGCATAATTGACTGTGAGCGTTGCCACCTGAGACTACTACTATATTATATTGAAACGATCTCCAGTGCAAGTGAATCCCAGATTGAGACTGTGTATACATATTTATTAGTACTGAGTACATATATATTTGATGCTTAGTAAAACAATAAAAAGTTTGCAGTAAAACAGACTTTTATTTAAATAAGAAAACACTAAAAGAGAGATGAAAATATTTACAATTGTTGATAATATTAATTATGTTTTCCTAGGGATGCCATAAGCCCATAATGAGTGACGATTAAATTATTTACTAAAGAGTTTATTTGACAGGAAATATTTACCCGTTAGTAGGTGGGAGAAAATAAATGAAGGAAAAAAATATTTAGGAGGAAAGAATAGCATGACGAAAGCTGATTTGCTAGATGTTTCAGTAGTCTTGGGTAGTAAAGTGAAACCTTGCTTGTTTCAAAGAGAGCCACCCGCAATCTCTGTCAGCAAACAGAGCTCGTAAATAACGAGGGGGTTGCTTAAAGTCTATCTTTGTTACTCTCTCATTCATTTTCATTTTAACCAAAGTCTATAACCTGTGAAACGCATCTCAATGGCTACGGTATCCCTTAGCAAAACCTTTTTTCAATCGTTGTTGCTCATTGTCGCGCCGTATCTAACAAAGTTTAGATGCGCTTACCTACAGAGAAAACAATTTTCTCTTTTGTTTGCTTATTTTTCAAATTTCCTGGGCGGTTTGTGTATTCTCTGATCCGCCTACTGTAAAGCATCTTTAATGCGATGAATTTGCAATAACTCGACATATGGATGGTTTGGAATCTCCTGAATTTAGACATTTGGTCAGAGAACACTGCACATTTAGATACTGCGGGGGTGAAAAATTGTTTAATGGACTGCTGATAAATGGCTTATTTGATGGTTTCCACTCTGCTGGAGATGTTGAAGTATAACGATTAGCCATCTTTTCAGTGAATAAATATTTATTGCTTATTTCTCTTCCCACAATTCCTGTAAAACATTTGACAATTTTTTATCTTCATTTGAACCACAGTTTTTTATGAGATTTCTTTTTAATTGAAATAGTTTGAATATTAAAAGAATAATTTCTACTTCAGGACAATCTTCTGAAGAAATTGAATGCTATAAATAAGCAGAACCAAGACAATAACTTTTCCGGCTGATTGATGACATCAATTGAGATTGATAGAAGATGGAAAATTTATCCTGTATACGTATTAATAGAGTTTATTGTCTTAAGCACTGACTTAGTTTGTTTCTTATAGATATACATTTCTGTAGTAATTTCGAGAATTTTTTTTTAAAACAAAAAGTTCCAATTCAAGAGATAAAATAATAACCAAAATGCCAATTCTATTTCAGTTGTCACATGATTTCAAATAAAAACATCCTCCTGTTTCTCAACACTATTCCCCTCTGGCGACCTCTCACAACGATTGACACTGGAGATTTTAAATTTCCCTTGAGACTGGCTAACACTTTTATTTTTTTAGCATTTTTGCAGATTATTTCTTTAAGCATTACAATATTAAATATAAAACTTCTATTTCCAATATTGAATTCTATCTTTTAGCAAAATAGAAAACAGATGATAATTGACTCAAAACATAGATAACTTGATAACAAATTATTATTACTATATACATAACGTATCACAATTAAATATATTTTACAAATATTTTATAATTTACTGCTTATTCGTTGATAATTAAAACGTTGGGTTATTTTTTTTTCGCTTTTCTTAACATTTTTCTTGACAACAACAACACAAAAAAAACATTAATTTAATAAATATTGAGATTTTTTTTATCAATCATTCATATAAATAATCAAGAATTAATAACGTATGTAATCCAGTCAACTGTTTTTGCTACTCTATGATAAATACCAGGTTGTCCTGGTTGAGCACAAGAGTATCCTGCTGAAACAATGCCGATAAGGTACCATCTACCAGTTTTTTCCAGCATCAAAGGTCCACCACTATCTCCCTAAAAAGTATTTTTTTTCATTAATTATTTAGATACTAATCAGATTTGATTTATTCACTTAAATTTATAATTACGACTTGCTATTGATTGAAAATTACTCTCAAAATTTCTAATTTATCAACACGCAAGTGAATTTATCTTTGATGACAATAAAATAAAAACTCGGTAATCATTGAATTAATTACCTGACAGGAATCTTTACCACCTCCACGATATCCTGCACACATCATTTCATCATAAATAATCACATTAATACCATTCGATCGATGCCACCGTTCACAAACTCTGTTATCAATTACAGGAACGTTCACTGTCTGCAAGGTTTTCGGTCGAAGTCGTGAACCTTTAAACAGTAATACATCGATGATCGGTAAAGGTCTGATCTTTTTTACCTTTATGTCTGTTTGTACAAAGGTTGAAAATAACTTACCAGCTTGCAAAGCACCCCAACCAGCAGCCCATCCATACTGACCCAGAAAATCTTGATTTTTATCTGGTAAACAAATTGGAGAGATATGTGGCATATAATGAACAGGCCGGTCCAATCGCAGTACAGCAACATCAAATCTATCCGCTTGTGGAGTGAATTTAAAGTAGGGATGCACCCGAATTTCACGAACTCCAAAAGTGTAGGCTGGAAGACTTTCTGAGGCTGAATTGACAACGTAGTCTCCAAGAGTAACTTGAACTTGACGAGCTGAGGCTCTAGAAAAATATTTTTTTTATCACAATAAACCCTTTTACTGAAATTTGTTCGTTCAATTATTTTGAGTAATTTATATTAATAGTGGAATGTAATTTACTTAGCGACACAGTGTCCAGCTGTCACAACATGATAACGATTTACTAAAGTTCCTCCACATCTACTGGATCCAATTCGAATATAAGCCTAAACAAAAAAATAACAAGTAGTGGGTTAGGAATATTCAATTAAATGAAATCTCATAAAAGGATTAAATGATGAATAATTTAAATATCTGACCTGCCAAGGGAAACTTGCGAAACCTGCATCATCTCCACCAACAATACGTCTCTGGGCTGTTTGTTTATTAGAAGAAATTCCACATTCTATTAAGGGGAAAAAAATACAAATATTAGTAAATCAAACAAAAACAATTGGAAGCCATTATACACATATATCACAATATAATTTAAATTAATATTACACACTTATGTTCCAATCAAGCAGTACCATAACCACATCAACATTTGATGAAAGTTTGGCCCCCACAGATATTATTAGACTTGGAGTAATTCAGTATTAAAAAGTCATGAAATAAAGTAATGTTAAATGCATTAAGGATCTATATCAAACAGTTTATCACAGGTTACTTAATATAAATAAATAACGACTAAATGCATATCAATAAAAATATACATTCATATTTTAGGAGTTGATTGTTCAGGGAAAAAAGTAGAAAATATAATCTACAATATGTATCAGAAGAATGCATGCGGTTTGGCCAATGTATACATGCATAAAAACAAGTAAGCATGCATCGATTGGCGAACTTACGCTGATCATCAATAGCAGATTCCGTAATTGTATCCAATGCAAGCTCATGTTGTAGCTGTTCTCTAGGCGCATTGACCAGATTATAGTCAGAGATAGCTTTAGCGTCTTTTCGCTGACAACAAGCGTACATAATACCACCACAACTGCCGTCTAATAGCCCAGCTGTCATCCAACATTTTAGAAAAAATTCACAGGTTTGTCCGTCAGCACACAAACTTTCGTCACCTTCCCAAAGTGGTTTTTTTTCTTTCCGCGACTTGTCTGCACAAATAATTCATTCAGCCACCACAATCAACACAAAATGATTTCAAATAATTTTATACTTGTTTTTGTTTGTCCTTCAACTAATATGTCCGTCTTAGAAATCATTTTACAATGAATTACTCCAAGTCAATAATAAGATTGTCATAGTTTATAATGATAATTTCAGTATTTAATTGATGTTAAATTTTTGTCAGGGTTATAATAACTCGAAGATTAGTGACCGTGATGTAAATCCTCTATTATCAGTAAATTTCATCATTCTCACATCCGGTGAAACAAAACCTTAGAATTGTTCAAGAAGCTTTACTACTGTCATTAGCTTTAAATCATATGATTAATAACTTAATGTTAGTAGATCTAAATACATGTAATAAAAGCATGTTAATATATGAGAAGAATAAAGACACACTATTTTTAATTATTACGAAAATTATTTTTAATCATACCCGTTTCAAGCTTGGGATAATCACTGAAAATTTGTTTTCTTTGATCTGAAACAAACAAACCAATTATCCTCACTTTACTAAATAATTATGTCTTTATAATTATTATCTACACTGAGAAAAAAAAAAATAACAATTATTGTCATAATTATAAATAATTGAATTTGTAAGGAAACTCACCTCGGAAGTCCTCATCAATGTCAGAATTGATCTGATTGGTTTGAAAGAATGATGAACCAACCCCACTACTAGGAATTGATGGATAATCATCCCTAAAAATTAATCTCGGTGTTCTGTGTGCCATCACTGGTCTATTAAAATCAACAGATGGTCGCCAAAATGACTTATGTTGTCGCCAGGTTGCTGGTGAAATCGTTTGAATCGGCGAAAATCGAGAAATTGGAGAATATCCAATATTACGAACACTTATACCGGAACTTTCAAAAAGATAATTTGATGATGTTGGAATTCGTACATATCGTTTTCTTCTTGATGGTTTTATTGATTTTGTCTTACTTAATGAATTATTTGAAATTTCTCCTGGAATTTTTGATGGTATTTTTGCCTCAATTAAATTTATCCATTCTATAGATATTAATATTATTGCCATTATCAACCAATGACATTTCTTTGACATCATCATATTTCTGGAAATGAAAAATTTTATATCACATTATGATTGTAGAGAAATTCAATTATTTTCAAATAATTGTTTTTTTAAAACATCAAATAATTTGTTATCAAAAATCAGTACATAGTCACATTCTGGAAAATACCAATCAAGACTCAAAATTTATTTAATCACAATAATAATACAAGTTAAAAGGAATTATATTCTTGGTGTACTTCTTGGGTGTTTTGTTCTGCCACGATCTCTCTTGTTTAATCAGATTTCAGAATGAAACAAATTTTTATACGAATATAATAATGATTATAAAATAAAAGAATAATTAATGGCTTAAAACCCGTATAAATTTACATGAAAGGGAAATTTCATGAAGCAAATTTGAAAAAATAAATAAGAAAATTAGTTAGAGAAAGCGATTGACTGCAACAAAACTTGTTCAAGACTATTTACAACAAGGGAAAGTGGCAATAATATGGGATTGTCTGCTTTTTCTTTATCATAAATAAAAGTGAATCACACATTAAATTGGGATGTAATGCATTTATGTGTATAGACATAAGCTCGCTAATCTCTTTTTACTCCGTTATCATCCTGTTAATTTATAGATACGAATGTTGACTTTTAACAAATATTCTTCATTCAACATTCTTTATCATTTTTTTTTGACGAAATTTTTGTACCGTATTTTATTACATCATTATACCCCATGATGACGCGATAACTTTTGTTACGTTACGGATGATTCAATACCAAGTTTTCTAACGGGTTTTTCCTTCAATTAAGAAGCTGGGAAAATTTTATCGTCAATATCTACATATAATACACACAAAAGATCACCTAAGAGTGGAACATTTTGCTTTTTAAATGTCTCTACAATTGAAATGAAATAAATAATAACACACATGTAATCGAGTTTGTTGTTATATTGACAGGTAGTTAATCATAATATTCAACAAAAAGAAATTATATACAAGTAATACACCACGATTCCCATGAGTAACTCTAACGGTTACTGGGCTTAAGAAGTAATGTGTATATATATACACATATTACTCACTTGGCGGTAAGTGAAAGTGTCTTATATGCCAGAAAGAGGAATCTATCGAAATAATATGAAGTTCACGTTCACGTTCACGCATTCATGCTTACATTACTTCCGCTTTTGAAATAACTCTTTTTTTTTTGCTTCATTTCGAGACATTACATTGGACTTTTAATTATATTTAACAGTAAATATTTTTTTTTTATCTTATTTAAAGTAAACCGTTATAATGATAAGTATTTAAACTTTTTTTCATTTCTCTCAATTTAAAATGATGATTTGAGCTGATGAATATAGGGTTGGGTTTTTCTGTGAATGTTATATAACAACTTATTCATCTTCTTTGAATATTTTTTTTTCTTTTATTTTTTTTTCAATTAAAAATAATATCCATTTAATGTAATTTAAATAGTATGCATTTGTATTGATAGGTTTCCTTTTCACTATTAATTTACATATATAATCATCGAAAAATGTTATATGATAAATTTACAAGAAAGCAAACTGCGAACTTTCACCTCAGTTCGTAGGAGATGCATCGTCGAAAGTCATGTCTTTCTTTCTCTCGTTGAACGAACTATACGTGAACACATCACATTATCCAATATACATATATGTACTTGGATGATGTGATATATACATACTTGTCAACATGTATATGTGTACTTTTATAAATACTGTGAAAGCTCATTACTGGAAGCGATCGATTGATCAGTAAATCAATAAAATCACTTCATTTATGTACATACGATGGTATGAGAAGAAAAAAATTTCTGGTCAATTTTAATGTCATGAAGGAGAAATTTTTTTTTTCTAGATGATTGACATTAGCGCTTTCAATTTCTTTTTAAATTTTCTTCCAAGCGCTGAGATTCCCCTTCTTAATATTTACTGTGAGTGAAAGAAATCTTTCCGATCTATTGATGCAGTCTCTTCTCTTTTTCTCTTCATGGCCTTGAAACAAAACTCTTTATGCTCTAGTTCTTCATCTTTTTCCCACTATTCTGACAACCGAATAACTTTCCATTGTGTAACGAATAATTTCGTAGTGTAAGATTTTATTATTGTAATATATGAAAAACATTTTATTTAAAATTCTATTGATTTCTTACCTTATAATTATTTGATCACTTTCCTGCCAATCCAATAATTTTGAATACTAGAGTATTATTATTATTTTAATTATTATAATTACTAATGTTACAGCTATTAATTTGAAATTTTGCCAAAGGTAATTTTTTTATATTCAATATAATAAATATCTTCCAAGTGTAATTATCTAAATAATTAAATGCACTACACAATTACATCTCGTAATAAAATATTTGAAAAATTAATTTATCCTTCTTCATATTTTTTTTCATCTAACATTATGTCACATCACTTTAGTAAAACTGTTTTTTATTTTAGTCATATTCCCTAGTGATAATAGTATTTTCGAATAATATTTATCACTATACATGCAAATATAAAACATTTATTATTCCATTAAATTAATTAACTCAAAAATTCTCCACTGCAATTATTTGATTTTATCCACAGTTTGAAAGCTGGCTTCACCTCGATTTAATTTAGCTATAGATCGAATGATTCCCCAAATAAAGCACTTCTCGTTGAAGTGACCGAGGCGAAGCCGGTACCAGCTTCAAATTTGTGATTTTTCCGGTACCTCTTTGTTGTGTTTCTTTAAATCACAAAACACGATTGGGTCAGTTGACTCAATTCGACTCGACTTGTTACTTGCTAGTGGCTCAACCACAGCTGTATGCCACAAACACCACAGATCACACAGACTAGCTCTCACTTTCTCCGACAAGTAGTTTCATTTTGGTTGGTAAAACTCTCTCGTGACTCTCTTCTCCCACTATATTACCTTTACTGACTCTCAGCGAATGTATCTCTTAAAATTTTAACTCTCTCATTCTCTCCCCCTCCTACTATCATCATTTTTTGCCTATTTATTATTTATGACTTTTAACTATTCATTTGTCAGCATTAGTCTTGAAATTAATTCCAACTTACTTAAGGATAATGTTATACACAATGATAGTCATTTTAAAAAACCTTTCATTGTAAATAGTTATGTCCTAATAATTAACTTACTTGGGTCAAATAATTGCATCCTCATAATTTTGAAAAAAAAATACCTTTTGTATTTTTTGCACTTGTTCATAATTTCAATGACTATTGATGATCATTATCCTTCCTTACAAGAGAAACAATGCATTGTACTACCTAACGAGAGCGTGAAAAAAACTTTCTGAGGAAATTCTTCCTTTTTTTCTCATTTCTTTAACTATAATTATATTTTTGTATAAGCTATTATTATTTTTAACCAAAATTAATATATTTTAACACTTTTTCGTTTTTCTTTTGTTTTCCCTTTAAATTTTCATTTTATTTTATGCTGAGTATGAAAAATAAAATTAATATTTTCAAGTATGAAATAAAATTTATCAATATAGTAAAAACAGATTGTGTCACCGGAAATGAGACAAACATTTCTTAAAGATTACCATACCCCGTTTCATACCGTTGATTCTTTAAAATACAATAAAGTCACTTTTCGCAATTTGTCGTCTCGTTCGGTTCCGCACTCGTAAATTTACTTTGTAATATTTCACAATAATCATCGAAATGTGACAAAAATAGATTTTACTTAGAGTTATCATATTATTTGTTTTATTTAAAAAAAAAAATGCTATTGTAATACCGTATTGATACATAACTATTAATAATATTCGTTATAAAAAAAAACAGTCGAGTTTTTTCTTTCAAACGTTTGAAGCAATAATTATTTTTAAAGACTTTCCAATCAGACACATCCGGTTTTAGTTGATTCCACAAGGCAATAACAACAAACTTTAAATTGAAAGCATGGAAAGTAAAAAAAAAAAGAATTAGATTTTAACGCATTACTGCTATTATTGCAATCCAGAATTATCATTTATATCTTAATGGACAATTATTTTAAGGTAATCAAGTTCCCTGAAATTCTTGGAACATTAACAAATTAGTTATGCAAATGAAATATTTTTCCATTGCATTTATAACTTTTCATAGTTCGAGAATTCGAATTCGAATGTTACATCAATTTAGGCATAATTATTAGTTCAATCAGGAATAATTTTCTAAAGGTAATAATCACTGATTTTCAATTAGAAATTCTACTCAAGAAAGTAATGAATAATATCAGGCATTTAAATAATATAAAAACTCGAGGTAAAAAATTTGAATTTTGAAAATTTTATTTCTCTAGTAAAGAACTTGTTGAATTCTCTATATACCATATAGTAAACTTATGTGTATACATTCACATCAGTATGTCTGTATAATATTATACATGTATTATACTTTCACGAGCACGCAAGAATTGCCTGAGGATTCCTCTTACTTTCTCCGGGACATCATTGAAAAGTAGGTCTCCAAATACATCATGATCATGATTGTTATGTTGGAGAGACAAAGAGATTCGACCTTGAATGTCATTACAATTTATTGACCTTATCATCAAAATATTAATGTCATAATTAATTCCTTCAATCTTACTTTCTTTTTGAGTATAATATATAAATTATAGATGAAAGGGCTAATAAATAATAATTTTAACAAAAAGAGAATAAAAAAAGCATAAATTTATTAAATATTTACATTTTATGCAAAGTGCATTCAGAAAATGTGACATTTTTATTCGAAACTTCCGGACTTGTATTTTCATCAGTGAAAGTGAATGCATATGTGACTCAAATATTTAATAAGTCAGTCTATTTTTCAGGTTTGATCATTTGAATGATAAATAATTTATTGGCTCCATACCAGCCCAAATTTGGCCACAGTTTACTTAATTAGTCATGTTACAACCTAGTTTCAAAAGTTACAGTTTTTATTATTCAATTACATTTATCCATTTATATACTGCTTATATAAAAAAAAAATATTTGTTTAATGATTGAACAAATTCAAATTTATATCATAGATATATTTAAATAAAATAAATGTAACAGACATTTCATTACTGCACTACATATATTTACTTCATTTTTGGCTAACAATTAATATGTTTCATAAGTACCCTTTTCTACAATCAAAAACGATGTTTATTAATAATACTTATTAAATAAAAATTTGACAGTAACTAACATTTATAATAACATTAAATTTATATATTTATTTATTTAATAATGGATAATAAATGATGAAAATAACAAAATAAAAATAATAATAATACTCTATAATATACAATAATTACAACCACAATAATACATAATTATTTATTTATTGGGATATTTTATTTATCAATTTATTTCCAATCGATTATAATTTATAATAGTCTATAATACTGACTCTTCGGACATTTCCAGTTTTATATAATATTTCAGTCTTCGGAGAAAATTTTTCTTAAATTTGTATGGCATAACATTGCATTTATCGTCGAAATGTGAAAAGCAGAAATAAAGATATTGTGCATTTTCATACTAGGATGATTCCACTTAGTTGTAATTTATTTTTCTTCCAGGCGTTTCAGATTCGGATAATTCATTATCTGTAGTAATTTACTTTATTAAAAAAATTCATTTCAATATGTATACATAAAAAAAAGTCACTCAAAATGAAAATAATTTCAATAAAACATTTTTTTATAGATCATAAAAAGTCACTTCAAAAAAATATCAATATCAACATTACTTATGTTATTGACTGTAAGCTTATCATGTAATATATCTAACATAGTAACTCGACAATAAGTAACTGGTATAATATGTAAAAAAATATGCCAATTACCTTCATTGACTTTAGTAGCAAATGAGACTTATTTTCATCGCGATTTCGATAATCAGCTTGATTGAGACTATTACTAATCGATTTTTGATGGCCCATATGATCATTGTACTTTAATGCCGCTTCTATATTTTTCAAAGATGCGAATCTTTTGTCCGATACGTCTGGATACATTTTTCTTTTTCCATATCGACTTCCAAGAAAAAATCGATCAACTCGCGGTAATAATTCAACACTTTTTTCATCTAAATTAGAATTTTTGAACTCTGAATCCCCTCGGCCATACCTACTTCCCGAAAAAAAGGTTGATGGATCTAAGGCTAAAAAAATATCCACATTAATTTACAGTATTAATTAAATAATTATTCTAAAAATAGATTGAATCTTAGATTTAAAAGTATTAAAATAACAGTAACTCAATCATGATTACTACCAATTATTGGTAAATTACAACAAACGTAAATTCAGCGTCAAGTTTCATGATGACCTGAGGTACTAGTGTGGTATCGTATCAAGTCATTAGTGTTTGGTGGTGGAAAAAAATTTCTGTTAAGATCAAATATACACTCTATAATTAGGTTAATTAAACGTTAAACCGTAAAGCGACTTGTAATTATCTTTTTCGTTTCTAATCTTTTTTAAAAATTTCAATCTATTCATCATTTTACATGTACCACAAAATGGTTTTTATTTAATTAAAGTAAAATATATTTTCAATTAATAAGCCAAAATTTGTCGAAACACGAAAAAGCAACATAAGAATTGCATTTTAATTTATATTTTAATTAACCAAATTATTGTTGTAAATTCATATTTTCATTAATGAAGTACAGTGTTTAGTCCTGTATCAATAAAGAAACTAAATAACATTAACACAACTACTAATTTAAAACACTGCAAAAAATTAGCTTTATAAATTTTGATTTTTTTTGCAATAAATGCTTTATGCAAAAAAAAAAAAAATGGAAGAAAACGATTTTAGAGTTGTTGGCTTGCATGCTTTCTTTGTCAATAATTTTTTGGAGTACTTTTAAAAAAGAATTATAAAAGTAAATAATTTCTATTTATTTTAAACCGTGTAAATAATAAAAACTGTAAGTGTAATATTAACTTATCATTTCACATTTATTTGTTAGAAGGGATATCGAGAAATTTCATGTCGATTTTAATATTAGAGTAAACGATTTAAATATTTAAAGAGCATAATAATACGATAGAGTAAACTTGAAAAGTAATACATATTTACATGTATGTGCTGTCTCCTCACGTTTTCCATAACGACCGTGAGTGTAAAAGTTGGGCTGAGACATAGCGACGCTTGAGAGGGTAAGGATGATCCACAGACATGCGATCATCTCGATTATCTTAGAGTTGATTCTTGACATACTCATGAATTTGTATTTTTTTATTTTCTTCACCATTCCAAATAATATTTTACAATCTATTTAATAAAAATATCATCTGGTTAATTAAACCAAAAATTTACCACCATTATCAATAATTTTAATGTTTAATAACATTTATTTATTAACATTTAAATATTTACTTACTCAAATTTCTTTTTGTACATTTTATTTATTTATTTACCTGAAAGCTCCAATATTATTATTTTTCTATTCAATTGTTTATTCTTAATCAATTCACTAAACATATTTCTTTTATGACATAATTTTTCAATGTTTAACAAAAAAATTTTTGACAACGGTAATAAAATAGTTATATTAATGTTCTATTTAAATAATTAAAATACAAATTAAAACATTCACTATAGTTGTCAACGAATTATATGATGAATGTCTTTATTAAAAATTTTAATTTCAAATGAATTACCGGAAGTGGTAAAAAATGGTTTTCAAAGTACGAGGTTCAAACGACTGCGGGTTAGTGGAGCTTAGACGAGGGCTTTATATAGAAGCTCCCATCCACCTACGAGACTGAAAGAAAAAAAGAGAGGGAAGTTTGACCCCTTAATCAAGGGTTACTTTTCCTTGTTTCAATTCACGATTTGACACGTAACTATATCGATTCAATCAAATTTTTGCTTTGTTATTTTGGTAATTTGATTAAAAAAATAAAAAGAAAAAGAGGGAAAAGTTTTAATTTTATTAACAAACATCTAAAATCAATCAAACGAAAAGAAAAAGAACTAGGAAATAATCAGCCTTAAATGCCGAAAAAAAAACATTTCTTTTCCTGAAGGATGAATGTGTTCATTTAAAAAGACAGATTTTTTTTGTGCTTCAAAGTCGTATTAAATTAGTTACTCTGCCTACAACAATGTCGAGAGATGTATTCGGTTAAAATTTACTCTTTTATTTTTTTGTGTCTAAATGTCCGAATCAGTAGTTGTATTTTTAATTCTTACCTCAATTTGATAATCTAATTACCGTCTATTTTTAGCCCCAAATAAATAATAGATTTTTGTCCTATAAGAAAGAAAATTTTCTTAAAAAATTTTGTTCTGCACTTGTATGCATAAAATTCTTCGTAGGTGTCTTTCAAATGCTTTAATAATATCATAAATCATTAATTTTATAGACACATAATATCGCTAAAATCGATAAGAATAATGATTAAATTTAATCGAAATAGGTTACATATGAAATTAAAGTAGTAAATTTTGCTTTTCGGTTTATTTATTGAACAAATAAGAAAATTCGTATTGACGAATGTATAGGTGTAAAAATGCATTAATAATGTATCTGATTAAATTTATGTTTATGATAATCAAACGATATTATGGTATTTGTTTTTAATTGACGGTTTCAAGTTATTAGATAAACTATGCTAACATTGTCATGTGACTTGTGATTAAATTTTCCCATGCGTGTCATTTCATTTCAGTCTAACAACTGTTAATATATTAATGTTATCGTGTTTATCAGTGCGTGATGATACAAATTATGTGTAAATACTTTTTTATATATTTCTTTAATAAAAATTCATCGATAAAATATTGATCCATTCAACTCATTACATTACTCCAAGAAGTGGTACTTATTCAAATTGAATTACTTTTATTCAACTAGTGTGAAAGAGGTAAACTTTCCCAAATTTTCTCTGTTGAGGAATTATTAAGGAGCTGATGAGAGATAATTCATAAAAAATTTTATCAGAGAAAACATTTGGGGAATTACTTCTTTTTTTTAAATAACAATAGTTTATTTCAATCCATTAACTACTTTTCATATTTGATTTGTATTGATGTAAGGGAAGATTTTCTTTTATGTAAGAAAAATTATACAAACTTTTCCAAACACTCTGTCTTTTGGCATAGGTTTCTTTGTACCTTTATTAATAAATAAAAAAATTTATATGCTATTCTGTTTTATATTTTATCTTACAAGTTAATTTTAATCTTAATAAAAATGTTCTTAAATATATAAAGTCATCCGAAGCAGCGGAAATACAACCCCCGAAGAAAAAAATTGTTTTCTCTTCAGGCAATTATTTTCAAGCTAACTTACTAACCGAATGTCGGTTATGAAGATTCTTTTTTTCCCCCAATTTAACGTTAATTGATAATATTACAAAGCAAAAAAATGAAGTTAGCAACAGCAAATAATTACAACTATTTAAATAATTAAACTTAAATACATTTTTAATAACACGTGGTTTTTGTTTACCACCAGTGATTTAAACACTTTCAATCACATATAAGTACCATTAATTTTTTTTTATCTAAAAAAAAGTAAGTAAATTATTTTTAATTAATCATAAAAATGAAATAGTGCATGGTTTTTTTGATTTATAGACCGTTAAGCAATAAATATATTAATTCTAACACTTCGAATTATAGGTGACGATAGATTTTATGAGTTTACTTTCCTTTAACCAGAAACTTTTCATTGAATACCATCCGTTCATGGTTTTATTTTGTTTATTTCAGCAATTTATCGAACGCGAGAAAGTTATTGTTCAAATGTTAGAGTCAAGATATTCATTAATTTTACTCCAAAAAGATGAAGAAAAAAAAACGAAAAACGGATGGAAAAGTTAAAAGTACAAATTATTTATAGAATTATTTTACAATTAAAACTTTCTAAAAATATGTTTAAAAAATATCATAAAAAAGGGTAAGGAACCAAATGATTGCTTTGTATCTTGAGATCAGAGCAGGTGAAGCATTTAAATAATATATCGAACAGGTGAAATGGCAGCTGGAGGGACACAATCTTATTCTTACAACACTACTACTTTCAAGTAACAGAGCAATGCTGTGTCAATTGACTGAAATTTGATCTTTTGAATTTCGCGCCAACATTAAATGTCGTCTTATTGGTCGAAATAGTTTTAAACGAAAATGCGATTTGATTGAATAGTGAGAAAATGTGGACTCCAATTCGCTTTCAGGGTCGGTTATAAGTATTTTCAAGTGGGGAAACGGAGTACGGGGAATAAAGATAGGTTCGGGAGTAAAATTGAATAAAGAAAAGAGAAAGAATTAGCCGTTATGTTGTGTCCTCGTCGCCATCGTGTCCGTCGTAGCTGCAGCTGCGTTTCGGCTGTCATGTCGAGTGCAAGTCTGCCTGCTGGTGTCTGGAGTCTCTCTTTACCTCCTTATCTTCCTTTTTCCTCATCGTCTAGACCCTTCAACACCGTTCAGTACACTCAGAGCCGTACGGCTCGATGGGTCGTTTATTCTTTTCATTATTATAAATAAAAAGTAATTCAATTGTCATTATCATTTCACTTTAATTGTTTTATTCAATGTATTTATTAGTAAGATACAATTATGATACTGTAAGATAATATTTTTGGAGTGTAGTTATTCAAGAGAAAATAAGGACGTCGAATGGATAATGAATAAAATCAAATGAAAAATGAAAAAAAAAGTGGCGTGTGCATTTGAATTTGTGCATTTATTTTAAGATTTAATAAATTTAATTATTGCAAGAATTTCGACGGCCATTGTTGGTGAACTCTTGACTTAATTTCTTTAACTATTCAATTTTTAAATTAGTATTGAAGGAGTACGGATGATATTGATTTAATAATTGAAACTAATTTCGAAACAATTTAATTTCTAATTCTTTCAATATTGTTCTTTATTAAAATATCGCGAATTTATTGGAATTTTCTTTAAATTCATAAATAATTTAATTTTAATTAAGATTAAAGAAATTTTTAAAAGTGTGATTTAATAATGCTTTTAATCTTCCGATGAAAGTGTATAATGAATAATTAATTTTTTTTAAATAGAGTTAGAAGATTTATAAATAAAAAATCTGTGATGTAAAGGATGATAAATTTTTAAAACCTGACAATTGATAAGAATAGACCGTTTGAGATAAATCGAGCACAGAGTGAATAGAAAATTCTGATTTGCAAAAATTCAAGAGAGAGCATGCGAGATACTAGTGACATGATGGACGACGCCATGTCAGAGGTAAAAGAGATTTATTGAGATTAAATTTGTGCTCGTACGTTTACACAATTGTCTTGTATATTATTATGACTGTGATTGATATATAATGCTCTATTTGCATGTTTTAAGATGTAAACTAGTCTGCATTAATTTACGTTGATTTGTATACTTGCGGCCCGTAATATAATACTATGATTAATTAATCATCTAACTTTCAAGTACTTAACAATGAATTAATTTTTAAAAAATTATGATCAATAAAAATCTTCATTAAAAAAATCAATTTAAGAAAATAATATCATAAAATCTGAATATTCTATTAAACGGAGCGTCGTGTTTTAAACTCATGAATATTCATAAAATTAGTCTCGTAAATAGTGAAAAAATATGACCAAATTAACAATTATTTAAAACATTATTTTTACTTATACATACAATGAATTTGATTTCCAAAGGAAATCACCTTGATCTTGTTGATCATATTTGAATACATATTACATTTATAAAATTGAAGCACTTGTTATTGAAGTATTGAAATATTCATTACTTTAGTACAATAATATTGATATTATCATAAGATATTTGAAGTGTCATATTATTTTTATATTTATAACTTGATTTAATAACAAAGTATCGATAAATGAATATTATTTAATATTTATTTATATTTTTTCTTCTATTAGGATACAGTAATGGATTATGGAAATGACGATGGTAATACAGATGACCTCATTAATTTAGCAACTGATATTTCAAATTCATCTTCAACAATACATGGTAATTCAAGATAGCGAAAATTATTTTGTCCTTGAGATTAAAGTTTATTTAATTGTTTATTAATTTACTATACTAGGATTTTGATATGATTGATAATTATTTTCTAGATGCTGCAGAACGACTGTTAACACTATTAGGCGTTGAGGACTCTGATGATGATTTTTATTCGTCTTCAGAAGATGAAGGAGTGGAAGTAGACCTAGAAGACAATGAAAGTAATGAGAGTATAAGAAAGCGAGGAAATGTCAAATTACTCCATCAATTAGCAAATTCTCTTGCCCAAGAATTAAGATATTCTCAAAAGCAAAGTTTTTTATTAAAAAATACATCAACACGATTTCCAGAAACTCATGAATACCCAACTCAATCTATAGAAGTTGATCAAAATAGGGCATATTCTAGTAATTTTTCAAATTCCTTTCATCATCAAAGTGTTTTAGAGAAACTTGGAAATTCATCAAGTGATTATTCTTCAGTTGATATGGCATCTATTGATGAATATGGATCACGAAAAAGGTTAAAAGTTGATGAAGAAAACTTTGAAACACTTCCAGATGATAAAATGTCATTAGGCCTATCTTCATATACATCGTCTTGGGACTCAGGATGGAATGCCTGTGCTCATGAAGCTATACGATATCTGATAGAAAAAGAAGGACTTCCTCCACATCATCCGACTATTTTAGCATTGAAAAACCACCTTTTTACACAAAAAGATAAGACTTTTACTCAGTATTTAATTTAATATCAATTCTTATAGTCGTAATAAAAATAATAATTAAACATACAATGTTTTTTACTATCATTAAAATTTATTTGCTCATCATATCTTTTTGTGAAGGGGACAAAATTTTTGAGTGTTCATCAGTTAAGTGATTTTATTTTGTAAATTAGTAAATTCGTATTCCAATTGATAATTATAATTAAAACGTGATAATTTCGTATAAGTTGGAACAAATTATTTGCAATATATATTGAAATTTCAAAATTTAATAATAAAATTAATTGGTAACAATATCATACTGAGATATGGTTTTTAAATGATTTTGGTAATCTGAGATAAAGCACTTAAGTGAATAATTTTAAGGAATTTTATTATTGAATAGTTATCCATTCTAATTATCTCTTCATAAAATGAAGAAAGTAAATATTTTTACTAAAAACATAACGGCTTTAAGTAATTTTTTTATCTATTAATTGCTCGCGTTAAATAGTTTTGCTTTCTTGTTAAAGTTAACGTAATAATGAGTAATTTACTGAAGGATACACTTGTAAATATGTATAATAATTATTTAACTTATTACATATGTAAATTACGATACTGTTAATTTTTACATTAAAAATTATATTGTATCTTTAATGATGAATATACAAAAAACTACATCAGTTTATTGGATATTCTAATTATATCTAATTTTATAATTTAGACTATTGAAATATTCAAAATAAATGCTGTGCGATTTTTGAAATATATTTAATCAATATTACAATTATAAAATAATGTTTAAATTAATGTTTTTATTATTTATATATTTCATAAATATTCTGTTCAATTTCGCACGTGTCAGAAATTGCTGCCAGAAAATTCAGTCGCGTGCCAGTACACAAAACAATTTCCTTTGTGTCATGTATAATTTTAAATTAATTGAGTTTCCCTTTCCTTTGATAATTTTTAAAAGGTAAAGGACATGTTTTATCATATTCTTTAGTTACCAACTATTCTACGCCAATGGGGCATCTGGTGTTATTCCGTAGCACATGCCATGCATCTGCTCTCTTCTCCAATCGGATCCCCCGTATTTTTGTTGTCTTCCAAAATCATCTGTTTCGAAGACTACAATAAATCGAGTCAGTTGCTATGCGAAAGTACTGATACTCCTTATTTTAAAAAAAATTTATTTTTAAACTATTTTCTTCTCTTCCATTAAAATACAACCAATACTTACTTCTAAGCATCAACTTCAACCCTTCTACACTTTCCAACACTTTATTGGCATTTAAATCATTTCGTGAACAAAATAAACAATTATTGACAACGAAGTTTAAGATTTATTTAATTTTAAAATATAATAATTAAACAAATGTAAAAAAAGTATACAAAAAAAAAAAAATCAAAAAGAATGGAAGGAAGCCTAAAGAGTCTGTTGAACATCCTGTTATATCAGTAAGATCATTGGCTCCATGCATGGATGTAGGCTTTTTTTAACACTTGGTACGCTTTTTTTTTTTTTACTCACAATAATACGTATTCTAGAACTCACTGTCATGTGCGATAGAGATAAAATTTTCGATCTAGAGTGGGAAGAAACAGCTGGTGGATTCACGTCATATGGTAAATTTTTTATGTCAGCTGTGAGGGTGAAAATTCGAAGGTTTTATAAATAATGCGATTAATAACATATTAGATTATCACAAGATTTAAAACTAGTAAAATTTTTCATGATGTTTGAAATAAAATGCATATCTTATTAACCAATAAACTAAAATTATTATGTGATAACTTATATAATAACAATCTTTATAATATGTCTGTCACGATTTTAAAGTATGGCAATTTAGCCAATTTATTTTACTTTATTCCCCAAAGCTCACATGTTATTATAATAAAGAGTTTCATACAACTTATTTCGTCTTAAGTACTTTTATATTATATCTCATCTTTTATTTTACATACAAAAGATCTTAAAAAATTAATAAATTATGTTTTCATTTAAAAGTACCCGCATTAGTTCTATCTTTTTCTTATAGTTATTTTATTAAATGATCCTTTTTTTTATTTTTATTCATGCTCTACAGACATTGGATAAATAAATAAAGAAGTTCAGATTGAAAATTTAATGAATTACAAAATTCAGTAGACATGGTAACAATACTAGCAGACAAAGTGAATTCATGTTGACTCCGAGTATGTTGGTCATTATTGAGTGTGTAAACAATTTATTGAAATGTCAGTAAGCAATTTGTTGGTAGATGCTGGTGCATTTATTTAAAGGAAAGATTTAAAAAAAACAAGAAATTAAATAAAAGGGACATATGGCCTTCACATGCAGCAATAAAGACTATTGTCGTCCCGAGAGAGGGGGCGGCTACGACCCCAGCTGATATTCTTCTTTTCCTCCGCTCAGTTCAGTCACTTATTGTTAGTTGCTACGTCTACTCCAGTCTTCTCCGGTTTAACTATTATAGTGACTGATTTCATCATTGGAATTCCCGCCAATATTAGACATTATTAAATTTTTTGTTGACCTTAAAAACTAAAAAACTTCAACTTTCAGTTCATCCCTCACAAATTAAATAAAAGCAACATTAACGAAGGTAAGTAAATTACAAGTTTCGTTTCGTTTATTTATTTATCTTCTTTCGCAATGCAAATAAAATTTAACTCATGTTGATGAATAAATTATTGCATGACGTAATACCGTAACTCAGAAAGGTTCTTTAATGAATTTATTTAAAACTTTGATCATAAGTTTTCAAATAACGTGAATATATATAAATAATCAACAAGATATATGTTGAAATGAGGTATTAATAGAACATCTTTAAACTTGAATCCATTTCGCAAGAATTAATATTAAAATTCTTCTTAATGAATCGTAAAATGTTGGTGCTATTAAGGGTGTATTCTGATTTATTCACGTCCTGCAGTATTGATTTGAAGAGGTGGAGTGGTGTTATATTTAACACATATACATATATATATGTATATATATACATACATGTCTACAACACTTCCTACAAACATTATATTAGTTAATATTAATGGTCATAATTTAAAATTAGTGCATTAAATTTATTCACAGATTCAATCGAAGTAAAACCATTTATATTTTATTTATATTTTATTTTTATTTATTATTATCATTTAATTTTAATGAGGTTTTGATATGAATAAAAAAGAAAGAGTCTTTTTATAGATGATTCCTGAAACACAAAATACATGTCAACCTACGGAATCAACACTCACTGGTCAGGAAGTTGCAGATAAAACTGAATATCCAACGGAAGAGGATGTGGCTGTGGTGACTGCTTGGAAAAGATATCTGAGATTTGTTGAAATTGTCGAATCTCAAGGCATTCAATATAATAAACAATTAACACTTGAAGCAATGTTTCGTGGTAATGATTTATTTTACACCAATCATTATCGATAATCTTTTTACAAGATTAATTAAAAAATTTATAAAATATATATAGCTATAAAAAATTAGGTGAATTATTAAGATTAATTCAAAAAATGATGAATATTTGAATTAAATAACGACTATGTTGCCATTTATCGGAACTAAACCAAAACATCAATTTAAAGTCATTATATAGTAATAGAAAATTTACTATAATTGTTAGTACTATTATTTCTAGTTTTTTTGTGTGAATAGGAAATATTTTTACTTCAACATTTTGTACAAATTAATATTCACATTATAAAGATTGACTTTAAAAAAAAAGTAATATTATTAATATGGATTATAAAAAACAATATTTAAATAAGAATTATATATTAGAAAAAGTTTATAGATAATTTATTCTATTTCATTGGAAGCTATGCTCAATCTTGCCAGTAAAGATGAACCAGAATACTCATTACTTTAGACAAAACTATTATAATCAATTAAAAAAGTCAACTTGATTAATTACATTGACACTAGAAATAAATAAAAATATTAGCAAAGAAACTTACGAAAACCATACTTTTAATTATGAAAGTAAGAATCTTATTAATATACTAACATTTATCACAATAATCATCTAGTCGATTAGAATTAATAAATGATTTTATTAGGATTAACTGTAATAGTAATAATAAATAACTAACATTGAATTCAAAAAAATTCTTTATTTCTTAACTAATTCAATTCAGATAAATAATTTTTAACATATTTGTATTTATCCAAAATTATTTCTAATTATTATGCTCACCAATAATTTAAAAATATGTCTATGTTATAAAGATTTCCAATCAAATACTATAAATGTAGTTTTTCACAAATGTCATTTTCATTTTTTATTAAAAAATGTAATTTAATAAATGATTCAGTCATTAGTATTTTTATGGACAAGTGTTTATAAATCAATGATTTATATTTATATTTATTCATAGAAATAAAATTTGATATTGTTACCCGTAAACACGGTTTGTTAATTTTCTTTTTTTTACACATTTATCGAAGGAGAAAATGAATATGCTAACATCTTCACTATTTTAATGATTTATTTATTTTTTAACATATTTGATTTCAATTCATTTCATCATACATTATATTTAATTTTTTCATGTTGTTTTATTATTATCATCATTATATCAGTTATTATAACTTTACTTTAATTTGTTTTATTTAATTTACAACAGATCGAGACTATAGTAATGTTTAATTAAGTATTAATGAACAATAGTAACAGTTATGACGATAATAATTAGACATAAAAAAGTTAAGTAAATCGAAAAATTCATTATTTTTACTAGAAAAAGTATTAAAGCCTCCGGTAAAACTAGTTTCAAAAAATACAGATAGACAATAGGATAAGTGAAAATGAATCTTAAAACAGAAATAATAAATTGAACCCATGTAATTTGTTCATTTTTTTGTAAATAAGTATAATAATACTTGATAACTCAGTGAGATTTCTACTGAAATAATTGATATATTTAATACTATAGTATCTATTTTGAGTAAAAAAAAAACTCAAAAAATTTTCTTTTCTATACAATAAATAATATTTTCACTTTCACAGCATGATAAAAATGATTTAACTATCAAAAATTGATTCTCTTTCTTAGTTAAGTAATTCAATTATTTTTCAATTTATTAAAAGATTAACTTATTAAATAATTAGGATAACTAATAATTGCATTTTATGTATATATATTCATATATTTAACATTTTTTTTTAAATTAAATGCTAAAGTCAACTGCATCCTGTGCAAATTTTCAATAAAGTACCTACACCAATTATTATTAATTTTTTATAAACCTTCGTTAGAAAAACAAAGGGAAAAGCCTCATCTCAAGATGGCAAAACATCCATTTCTAATACACTTTGAGTACCTTTACGATAGTCTTGATCTTTATTAGTTCTCGTATTATCTTTAAGTTTATTTTGTGTTTGATTTATCATTGAATTTCTTGGTAGTGTTGCGATAGGATTCATTTTCGTTAATCGATAATTATTCTCACTATCAACTCCACCATTTTCCGATTCAGAATTATGTCTTCTTTTAGGTGTCAAATCTACTTCACGTATCAAACGTCCTCTTCTAACTCGATTCAATTCCTGATCTTCAAAACTAATTGGCACTGTTTGCATTGAAACTGTATTTCGACGATCATTAATAAGACATTGAGGATTTAAAGTTACTTCACGTGCTGATCCAAATTTTTGGACCGAGGTAGGACTATTTAAAAACCTAGAATCAGATATTGAGTCATTTCTCTCAATTTTTTTCTCAATTTTAACTTCTGTCACTGTAGTTTGTCTCAATAATAAATCTGGTGCAGTTTCTGGCAATGGTTCATCAGTTATTGGTGGCCATTTTAAATTTCTTCCTAAATCTCGTTCAATTGCCAAAAATTTCTTTTTTGATTTATCAACATTATGCCAATGATACCGCAATTTAGAGAACACCAAGTATTCAATGAAAAACTTTTCAATAATCAGAGAAAGGACAAAATTAATTGCTCCATAAACAACTAACATTATTCTGAAATTCATATCTTCTGGTAAAACTAATTCAAACTGTTGTGCTAGCCATTCAAAAGGATAAATGGCCAAGTAAACTGAAAATAAAGACATTAAAATAAACGACCCTAACAAACCATAATTAGTAAATATTGATTTCCGATAAGGGTGTCCTTTAGAAAATGCAGCAGCTAAAATTATATATTGTATTGAACTAATAATAAAAAGGGTATAATTTTCATAACATGACACGTCATCTTTATCTTTGCGACTGGACAAATCAAATGGTTCAAACCATTCATTTTGTTGAAGATACCAATAACTTAAATACTGAAATATAGTGACAATAATGATTTGAGAGAATAAACTAAGAATTGATGATATTGAGATCAAACTTGTAGGTGGAGCATCTTTTACTAAAGGACCGTCATAAGCACGAGTCCTTGGGAAAAAGAAAGCGAAAACCGAAATAATAAATAAATCAATGTACAAAAACTCAAAATCAGTTAAGTTAGAGTCTATATGATATAAAATCATGACCGAAACGAATTGAGTTAAAGAATATGCTGCCATATACTTGAATATACCAAAAGATGTGACTAAAGCTGCCCGTCCTTCACGGATTACGGATAGAAGACATGAGATATTTGTTTCTCTAGATGTAAATGGCGAGGCTACTGATGATTCTGTATCAGACAGTGAAATTCCAGTGTGCGCGGCCTTCAGTGCTCCACAATCGTTAGCACCATCTCCAACCATAGCAACATAATAACCAAGTCCTTGAAGCTCTTGAACTAATTGTTGTTTTTGATCAGGTGACATTCGAGCAAAAATAGCTCCTCTAGTGGCTATTTTTGCTATCAAATCTGGATAATACTGTTTAATTAATGCCCAAGTTTTCCCAGTTAATGCAAAAACGTATTTATAAGCTGAAATTTTTTGGACATTATCAGAGAGATAGTTGACACCATTAGTACGAACATTACCAACAAATCCGCTTTCTACAGTCTCTAGTGACACTATGCTGTTTAAATCTGTCATTTCACTGATACTATTTTGAAGATTTGGTGACATTGGACTCTGAGGACTACTTTTGGTAAAATAAAGTCCAGGCTTTGGTTGATTTGCGAGAGGTATAGCTGTCACTGCTATCACAGGCATTTCTGGCTTCACTATTCCACAGTCTCGAGCTACAGAAAGAGCTGTTTGTATATTATCACCTGTCACCATAACAGTCTTGATAGATGCACGATTTAGAGCTTCAATAACTGGAGTTGTTTCCATCTTCAAACGGTTTTCCAGAATTACAAATCCAAGAAAAGTTAAGTCTGTCTCTGCTACTTCACGGTTTATTCGTTGAACTTTCGCGTAAGTTAATCTATTCAGTGATTTATGGCCTATAGCTATAACTCGGTAACCTTCTGACGTATACTCTTGGAGAACTGAAGTGAAGTCTGGAGGTATAGATTGTGGCTTTGACAGGCTGTGAATCATTTCAGGACTTCCTTTACAAAAAAGATCATAATGATTTGCGCCAAGTATTCTGGTGATAACGCTCATACGTTGTAAACTTGAAGTGAAAGGAAACTGTCGAACTATACCAATTTCCAATCCTTGCTCTGCTAATTCTGCATCAGATGCTGCTAAATTATTTAAAGAAAGGTTTTCTACTTCTGAAGTAATGGAATTATGTCTTCCATTAGATATACCAGAAATTTCATGATGCGGAGTTTGTAGAAGTTTTGAATCTCGTGGGGGTTTTACAATAGTTGGAAACATCAAAGAGAATTTAGTATTATCGGATACATCAGGTTCTTCTAAGTTCCAGCCAGTTGATTCAAACATTTTCAAATCTAACGGATCACCAACAAGCTGACCATCAATAATGGTAATACTATGACAAGTAACCATACCGAATAATAAATCTCCAGCTGATATAGTAGTGACATTTTTAATTGGAATTTGGAATTTTTTCTCACTAGCTGGAACTACTCCCCACATGTCAAGTCCATCCTCAGTTAACGTTCCAGTTTTATCAAAACATATACAATCAATAGAACCTGAAATATTGATGGCTCGTGGACTGGTGCAATAAATTTTCTTTTTCTCCAGCCTACCTTGAGCCACTAATCGACCTACTGTCATAGCAGCTGGTAATGCTGGGGGAACTACAATAGTTATTAAATCCAGAGCTTCTAAAGCAACATCTCGAGCAGATATTCCACGCATTGTTTTGTTAATGATAGTATAAATAGCGCCTATACTCGCAATACAAGCTAATAATACAACAAATTTATAGGAATCCTGTTCAAATTTAAAATCTACTGGAGGTGGATACATAATGGAACGTACTAAACCACCTTTACTGGTATTAAATCCAGTTCTTACAACAACAGCAAGAACATTTTCCCCTCCAAAATATCGAGTTTGTATAATTTTTGTGCCACAAAATAGCGTATGACGTGCGTGTTCTTTTGTATCATAAGTTATTTCTGTAGATGAAGGTATTGGAGTTTTGGTTACTGGAACTGATTCTCCTGTGAGCATTGATTCATTTAGAATACAGTTGCCCGTGAGTAAAACCGCATCACAGGGCATTAAACAACCGTGAGGTGGAATTACCAATATATCACCAGGTACAAGACGTTCAGCTGTTACAGAATCAGTTTTTCCCGTTGTTCTATCACGCATTACTATTGCCACATCAGATGAATGAACTGTTGAACTCAATTTTTGTTGGTTCTGAAAAACAATTAAATGTTACCATTATTTTATATTCATATCTTTTCATTTATTACAATTATTAATTGATTTGATTGCTACTTACTCTACGAGTCTGGAAGACTGCCATTGTTATTCCAAAACAAGACATTGTCATTATAGCTAATCCATAATAATAATAATCATCAGCAATCCACAAACAAAAACTAAAAAGTTGGAAGACGTAGAATGGATTCAATGCTTCAAGACAAAGTAAACGTAAAAAACTATTTACAGGAACGACTATTTCATTATTTCCGTAAACACTTCGTCTGTAAGATAAATTATTATATTACTTATTATATAATGAGAATAAGAGTTATTACGTAAAACAAGTATGATTTATTTAATTACCGAAGAAATTGTTCTCGAGAACTTAAGCCATGCATTTGATGTAATGTACATGTTGAAACTCCAACATCTAAACCAGCTAATTTCATGAATTCAGATCTTTCTGTATCCCAAACATATGTCAATTTTTTACAACTAAAAGTTATAATAGATGATACTTGTTTAAAGTGTCCTCCATAGAGGTGAATTGAAAGTTTTGAAGATTCATCATTTTCAACAATATTATTAAAACTAATTGAACCAAAGCTTCCAGAGCTTGCCCAGGGTTCATCAATCAGTGTATCACTATCTACAGCATTCTTTCTGTAATATAAAACTCGTTTATTATTATTTTCATTACGAAATTTAATATCATTGAAAACGAATAAAAGTAAATCTCGCTTACGTAACATCTTGAATTGTCATTGTCCTTAATTTTTTAACGTGATAATATGCATGCTTGCCCTGGAATCGCTCCACAAGCAAGACAGTATCAGCCTCTTCTAGAGAACACTTTGAATGGGTAGCTCGTAGCATTAAATGAGGAATCCAATGGAAAATTAGCCTCAAAAGTCCACCAGTAATGATGATAAAAAACCAAGTAATTATGGTATAAATTTTATTTTTTTGATATCTGAAAAAATATATCATTCAACATTAATTCTCTATTATATTAAAATGATCTTCTCTAAATATTCGTCAGCTGTGTTTACCCATAAATTTCCATTTGATCTTCTTCGCCAGGATTGATATAGTCGACTCCATTTTTGAGATGTAGCAAGCCATTACCCCGAGTTCCTAAAACATAAAAAAAGTCATTGATCTCATTATAGACAGAATAACAATATAGATTATTGATTCCAAGTAAAAATCGTTGTTTTACCCTCTAACAGTTCTGTCTTCTGTTCGATCTGATTCTCATTATTATTGCTTGGATTACGATTGCTAAAAACGTTGTAAGCATTTTTAGCAAAGCCCAAATTGAGCTTATTCGGAGTTGCAGGCATGATATTTATATAAATTGGATTGATATTTATCACTGAATAAATATTATTACAACTATTATAATGATTTATTAGTATTAATATTAATATCTATCTTGTTATTTACTGTTGTTTTTATAATTAGGATTATTATAAATTTATTAAATTCTCTTCTAGTTAACGTATAAGTACCACTTAATCACTATTAAATTATTGTCCACAGGATTTTCACAAGAAATATCCTATTGTTCTTTCAATAAATTATGTATTCAATTGATCAACGAATTATTTACTTTTTTGATAGAATGGCACAAGTGATTGTTAAATAATTTTTAAATAATGAGGGATTTTTTTTAAACTCTATTAATGAAAAACTCCGTCTGCTACCGACACCGGTGTCCAGCCATCTTTGGATCTCTTTTCAAAGTCCTTTTATCTATCAAACAATTTTTTTGATACATCTGGATGACATACAAATGTTCTCCTTTGTATTTTCTTTGTATAATAATTCTTTTTTTTATAAAATAATAATAGTAATTATTATTATATTGCGGTAACTGCTATCGGTAAACCGCAATTAATTCTTCGTACTCGTGTCAGTCTCCAGGATCAGCAAGTTTTCGCCAGCCAATGCGAGGCGTTATAACAGCTCGTTCACTATCACTCATACCTCGATGTAATCCAAATTGATTGCCAATTGTTCTTGATAACGACAATAAGTTAAAATCGTCAAGTGATTGAATTTTTAAATTTTCTCAGCAAAAACTTCAATGAATTCTGAGAATTTTCCTGATAACAACTGGATCTGTTTTGTCTTCTTGGATCTTGCTACTAGATATCTTGCATTCGAAGCCACTCTTTTATTCTCGTACCACCCTTTTTTCTCCACGTTCGATCTCAAATACATTACGGTCTTCAAAAATAGCTTTTATGCCGTCGACTTCACGATCGGCAGTTAAATATTTCTCCTTTGTAATTGATGATAATTAATTGTTGCCGTTCAAGGCAAGAATGATCTAAATTGGGCTATTCAAAAAATAACCCTCGATTGGATACTTGACACTTTATGTCTCAGACAATTTGTTATACATTTACTCGAAAGACAGAGATGTATATTTGAAGAAAACGTTTAATTATTATATAACTATTTTATTCTTCTGATTTTCTTCAATCTTCAGCAGGAAAGTCCGGGTCTCTAAGTCTATTCTTAGACTCACGTCAACATGAATCCAGCAGGTTTTTATATATATTTTATAAATCTTTTTTTATCCTTATAAGAAATCACTTATACATAAATGTTCTACGATTATTTGAATATTTTAACAGTTTAAAATTAATTTTTAAATTAAGTAAAAAAAAATATTTTAACGTCATGTAATATTAAATTTCTTTTTTAAAGAAAATTAAAAATGTTCTTCAAAATATTACTAAATTCGATATTGATTAAATCGATTATTTTAAGTTTTTCTTTTCACTGTCTCTAACAATTATTGTTACAACAACACACTTATAATTTTTTTTTTCATTTAAATGATTCGAGAATACAATTCACCATCTTCGGGACTTCTAAGTACAGAAAAAACAGTGCAATAGTTCATTCCCAATATTTTATGCATTCTGAAGCAATAATCACTAATTTTATCACTGATTTTAAATAAGGAGCACAATAATAATAGTAATAAAAAATAATAAACGATGAAACAATAAAACGAAATATGAAAATTAAAACTGATTTAATAAAATATAAACTGTTAATAAATTTATCAATAAAATGTTCAACTTTTTATTTTATTGTTCTATTCTCTTGATTAAACATTTGTGTAAGTATTTAAAAAATAGCAAACTATGATATTAATTGCAAAATTGAACCGTGGCTAAATAACAAATCCTGATGATTCACTTTACACGTTAAAAATGACGATCGACGATTCTTGAGTAATACACTTGTTTCAACAATTTTACTAGTGAAATATTTCAAGATAATTCAAAGATGGCGAAACTCGTTTGCGCACGATTCAACACATTTACTGTTCAATTTTCGCTAAAACTTGATTTTTCCTTTTACTAGTGCTGTCCTCACAACAAACTCGATTTTAGACTGTACTAACCAAACACCGAATGTACTATTATTTTATTTTAAACTATAATTGCAATTTGCAATTATTACGTTAAATTTACGAAATACTTTAATTCTGACGGTGATTATTAGAGTCAGTGGTATTAATAATGCCAATGATGATGCGTTATTCTATGTCACTATGAAACACTTAAATAATTATAACTGAGTGTAATGAATTGCTCTGAAATTGTTTGGCATACAACTTGGACTTGCGCATTTCGATTTAACATCATCACGTCACTGACAGTGGCGCCAACTACATTGGTTACCCTGTATTTCATATTTTCATTGATTATACACAATGTCTTTTAGTTTTCATTAAAAAGACAATAAATAAATTTCTATTGTTAAAAAAATGATTAACAGTTAAAAATAGTTTGTTTAGAAATGAATATATATTTTTGATAGAATTTTTATTGAGTATTAATCTGATGTCAAATGATAGCTGGCTAATGTAGAGTAAGGAATTGAAATGCCGAATAATTCCGAGTAGTAAACGAAACCAATCGAAGATACCACGAGGCTACAGTGACTCATTAGTTATTTAAAACTTTAATAGAATAAATTTTTATAATTAGAATTATTGTACTAAATGGATTATAGTACTCTCATTGAGTATTGATTTTATTGCCTTATGTATGATTCAAAGTTTATAGATATTTTCTTGATTGTTATTTATTATTATGGTATTGATTTATGAAATCGCATTGAAGAAACTTTGTTGCCACTGATGATAAAAAATTTATGAGCTTCAGATCATCATCATCATTAATCATAATTATTCGTTTATCTTTTTCGATAACAAACTTACAGCATATCTATGAAATTTGTATCTTTTTTTGTTTTTATCTTATCGTAAAATCAGTTTTGTGGACGTATAAAATTTTATGAAATTTTATTCAAAGGTTAAACAATGTTTTTCAAAGTTATTAATTGTTAAATTAATGAATGGATTCAAAGAAAAATATTTTTATTATATAAAAGATTATTGATGATGTAAATATTAATCATGCAATACATGCAACCTTTTTAATGAGGGACTCAAATTGTATTTATATCAATAAGTGGACTAAAAGTTGTGCAATTTATAATATTATGTTGTTTACTTATCTAATTGATAGTGGCGGCATTTCTTTCAACTATAAATTACAGAATATTGTACATTTACATAATAGTTTAAAGATCTTGCACTTTTAAACAATAATGAATCCATAAATATTTTTAACTTCCACAGAAAAATACTAAATATTAGATAAATGTTTCAATTAAACACTATTATTCATCACATTGGTTATTGAAAAAAACAATTTCATTCATTTATGTTTACAAAAATACATATTTATTTTAAAAGATATGCTTCTTTTAAAGCTCATACAACAGTAACACGATATTATATTCTTTTAGTTGATAAATAAAATTTTTACAATTAAGACAAATTCTATTAACGATTTATAATATCTAATATATCAACGTTAATTTATTTTTAAATAACAATTTTTTAAAAAATCTTACCATCCATTATATCCATTATTAAAATTCTTCTATCAATGTTCAGATAGTTATTCCATTAATTCAACAACTATTTTTAATTAGAATAATAATAAAAACTACTTTGTTAGTCATGTGAATACATGTTTAAAAAAAAAAACATAACTAAACGCAGTCTATTAATTTCATGAAATTAGCACTACATTTTATTTGAAAAAAACTTAAAACTTATAGAAAGTATACCACATGTTATGAAAAATACACATGTCACCCACGATATGTCATTCACGATCGCACGTCGCTACTAAACTTTCAACAACGTCTACGTATTAGTATATACGATTTATGTAATTACGTTTGAAAATTTCTTGTGATATTAAGGCTTTAATTGGTTTCTTACATTCTTCTTTCAAGTAATCTTATCGCTTCATATTCCTTTAGAACTGATTCATCACCAATTAAAGTCTCAGTAAATTCGACATCATTTTACAGTTAGTTATTAGGTCTTATTAGTTACTTTAAGCATGTAGTGATATTACTATTTATCCGCTACTATCACTTGCGAAATGTTCTACTTATTTACTAAGAGAAAGTAATAAGGTATTGGTTTACAAGGAATGCACATTATTGAACACAAAAAAATCATGATAATGATGATTTTATAAATATTTATCTTATTTAATTTTCATAAATATAATCTGAGTGATAATTTTTAATATCAATAGTCATATTCGTTATTGTCAAAAATATTGCTTATTAATAATTTAATAATTATTAACTAATTTCTATTTAGTGTTGTTTTTTTTTTCAAAATATAGAATGGCATAAATACATTTTTCTTATCTTATAAAAATATCGAAATATAAAATATTTATTTTTTCAACATTTTTACTTATAATACATACAATTATTACTGCTATTATTATTATGATATTCAGTGATACTAATACTACATAGTTTTATTTTATAATAATAATTCATACTCTTTAAATTAATTACAATTACTGAGTGTATATATTAAAATTTATTATTTTTATTTTTGCTTTTCTTTGCACATTCAAAGCTCACTCATTCTTTCACTCAACTCCACAACTTTCAACTTTCATCAATTCTATCAATTTACTTCCATTTAAAAGTCATCATTTTTCTTATGAATTTATTTACGTAGATAACTGTGTTCTATTCTACTTATTAACTAGTATATTATATTAAATTATTAATAATTTATTAATTGTTATCAAATTGATAATAATTTTAGTATTCATGTATAATTTGTATATTCACTTTATTAAATACTTTTATTTAAAAGTCTTTTTTTTTACTTTTATCAACCAATACATTGTCATGATAACTTATTTCTTGGCCTGCTACAGCGGGATGTAAATAATGTGGTTCAACATCTATTTTTTCTTTCACATCAGAATCCAATACAATGGAATGATGGGGTCCAATATGATGTCCTGGATGATGGTTTTCATGATGATGACTCTTTTCAATTTCTTCTTGTTCTTTGTAGATTTTGACTTGATTATGGTGACTCTGGTGCTTCTCATACTCATCCTCATGTCCATATTTCTTCAATAATTCTTTTAGATTCTCCAGATCAACTTCTTCCTCAAACTTGGTGAAATATTTCTTTTGCCACTGCCTCATCAATTTTCTTATTATCCTTCAAGTGTTTGAATAATTGTAAAAATCGTTCATTGGCTTGGACTCCGTCTTTTGTCACATTTTTAGACGAATTTAAATTAGGGTTCAATAGTAGATCAGGTGTTTCATGAACTTGATTGACATTCTTGTCAATATTTATATCGACAATTGATTGTAAAAGTGTATTATAGTCAGATTTAATTCTTGATGTTTCCATGCAGGAGCTACATGAGCAATTTGTTATAATTTGGACTTTTTTCAACATTTTTGTTGGATTATTGTCCTCATCTTTGCAATCTAAAGTTACCTAAAGGCCAAATGAATTTATTTTAATCATTTTATTGAAATAAAAATGAACAAATATTTTTTTCAGAATTATCCAAGAGTAATGGAATGAATAAAAAAAAGAGGAGTAGAAGAAATTTTTAATAAAATAAATAAAATAGATCGTACTGTATGCCATATGCTATCTAAAGGCTGGCAAGAGTCACAATAAGGTCTGATAAGGTCTCCTGGAGCTGAAGGCTCGCTATGAGGTACCATGTAAGAGAAACAGGCTCCTACACAGACGTTGTTGTCAAGTTCTTGCGAAGAACATTGAGGCCAAGTTACAACTTGCTTGATTGGTGTTGTTTTGCACCAACTATGCTTATCGGGATAAAGTACAATATTATGAACCTGAAAGCACAAGTATTATAGCTTTAAATATATTGTTAACACAACTCTGCTAATTAAATAAATAGATTTACAAAATACTAGTCACCTTATGCTCCCGATGAGCTTGGCTAAGAAGGATGCAAATCAGAAGAATAACTATTGTTGCAAATTTCTTCGTTGGCTCCATTATTCTAGAAAAACAGAAAACAAATATGTTTTGAATTTTCTCTAATTGTTCCTGGATGATTACTCATCTTTTTTCTATTATTTATTTATTTATTTATTAGTTTTTATTTATTAATGAAAGCAACAGAAAGACTATCTCGAGGCCAGTTCGACGACCGGTTAGCTGATTGCGTCATCTAGATACTTGGTATATGAGCAAATACGCATATATTTCAACTTGATCAATAATTATTTTTATTCATAGAAGAATTTCATTATTTAGAAAAAATTTCGAATAAATTAATTGCTAAAGGAATTTTGAAATAAATAACAGAAAATAAAAGTCGGAATTCGAATGGAATTTCATTTTCATTTTGAAATAATTACAACTCCATTTCATTTAGAAACAATAAGTGGCAGATAAAAAAGGGAATTTTTTTTTGAAGCTTCATCACTATTTTCTCAAGGGACGAGATGGAGAAAGAAAGGGGAGAAAAACGAAAAAGAGCTTAAAGCGAAAAAGAATTACGAAAGTTAGAGAGTCTAAATCCTTTTTTGGTAATGTAGCTGAAGAAACCAATCATTGAAGTATATTCGATTTTGACAGAAAAAGAATACATTTAATTTATTTGGTGATTGAGAAATTTATTACATGTTCTGCCATTTTTTATTTTCGTTTTTTTTTATTATTTACAATAAATCGTTAATTTATAACTTGTTGAAGGATGTAATTTAATCCAGTGCTTTGTTATTTACTGTTAGAATTAAATTAAAGTCTAATATACTTATTAAAAACATGCCATAATGAATTTAATTTATTTCTAATAACTCGAATAATTTAAAATGATAGAGGAAGTTATTTTCTATGAATCTTAGCTGATATTATTTTCCTTACTATTTTCTCTCAATTCTTCACACATAAACATGTTTTCATTAATTTATTTGTAAATAAAAAAATTTCGATATTTTTCTTTCAGTCAGTTAAAATTCTTTCTATCATAAGTTAAGGTGACTTTTTAAATCATAGCATTCTAGAGAAAACATAAATCATTGGTGAAATAAAATTTATTTAAATGCAAAGAAAATTTTAAAGCACAATAAAAAAAATATTACGACACATAACAGTGTTTCTTTGATTAAAGTTAAGCGAGAAGATTCAAATTACCAGCTAGAAACCATGCAGAGAGTAAACCAATAAATGTAACCCTTGTCAAAAAAGCAACTGACCAAAGAATATAAGCAGAAAAAAAGGAATTAAAAGCAAAAAAAAAAATGGAAATAAACAAGTTAGCGATGTGTTAATGAGTCAAAATTCGCAGATGATTCGACGTCAAGTGTCCGAACCTTCATCTACTATATATAGACTCATCTGGGAGATCTAAACAAGGATGAGGAAGTCTCATGCTTTTAAGAGTGAGAAGGCTGATAGAAAAAAATAAATATCAGGTGTCTGGCCGTCCCTGAAACCGCTGGTCAGAAGTCCAAAGCTCTTTGTTGCTGCGCCACCTTCTCTTCTCGCCTCCAGGCGTATAACAACCGCAGTAGAGAAAAGAGCCGGACCTCCGGTCTTATACTGATGGTCCCGTTCTTTCCATTTGCTCGTGTCTCTGCGATTTAAGTTACTCGTCGGCCCAAGACGCAAGCGAAAAAAAAATTCGATCGACCAGGAATAAAAAATCAACTTTGGAGATTAATTTCATTTTAAAGCAAATTTGACGCGCTCGTAACTTGAAAAATGATCAAAGAGACACACCGGCAAATGTTTCAATGATTTTATGTTTATCAATATTTTTACAGTGTATTTAAATTTTTAAAAAATCATCAATAATTCTACCATGTGAGTATCAACTATTGATTATTGGAGAATATTTTATTATTCACGACAATCACTGGGGATTATATACGAGTTTTTTTCCTTCATCTATTTTACATAATTTGTTAGCGAATGACAAAGAAGAACCAAATGATAGGTTTAATATTGACTTGTAAAAGATTCCGCTAGTGAAATGCGTAATATAAGCATTGATAGCAATACAAGTAAAGTGGGAAAAGGCTTGAACGAAGGTGATCCAGCCTGTGAGAGACTTCTCTCTTCTTACAGCGTGCGTGTACCAAGATGAGAGAGAAAAGAAAAGAGTACTGGAGAGGGTAATGGAGAACGTAGTACTCGACCATGTTGCTTTATTTATACTTTACTTATAACTTCTATATACTACATTGTGATTTCATACTTTTATTATCATATTATCTATGCTTCGGCTGCATTCTGCTCATTGCGTATTATATATAATCACACATATTGCGTATTTTTGTTCGTACAATAAATCTTATGAAATTCCTTATTTATTTCAATAAATTCTCAATATTATATACATTCATTTTTATACTTCTTTTTTCTCATTTTTATAATCAAACTTTATGAGTTTAACGTAACCTGCATATATTAAAGAAAAATTTATTCATAAAAGTAAAATATTTTTTGAATGAACGTAAGAATTTTTTTTCGATATAACTATCTTTTTTTATTCAATGTAGAAATGTTTTTTTCTCGAAAGTGACAATTATTTCACCAATAAATTAGTTGATACTAAAATAGATAATATAATAATGATCGAGATAAAAGTTTGCATTAAGTATAATCAATTAATCTCTTTTTTTTTTTAGAAATAAAATGTTGAAATTTAAATTCTAGGGTATCAAAGAGAATATTAAAGGTGCTGGGTAAACTAGTAGTAGCCTTGATCCGGAAGACAACGCAAAAAAAAAGAAAAAAAAATACTGGCGGCTACAAAAGATGACCAAAAACAGGCTGGACGTGTGGCGCCATTTCACCTTATTTCTGTCTTTTTTTTCCTCCAAAACCCCACGTTATTATCCCGTATTACTTATCTCAAAGAAGTACACACACACACCAGTAAAGAGTAGCTCCTTCAGGTTAACGATACATCACTTGTTTTCTTAATTCCTAATCTTTTTTTCAAATTCGAGTTAATTTATAATTCAAGTAGAAAAAAAAACGTTCTAAAGAACTGTTCAATATTTATTAATTAAGACTTTTAATTATTACATGAATTTTAAAATATTACTTATTTAAATATAATAAATGAAATTTCATTGACTATTTGTTGACACAATTTGTCAATAAAAATAAATGAAAAGAAGAATAACATAAATAAATATAAAAATAATGAAGAAATTCGGGAAAGAGTTAGAGAACGTTAGAGAAAAAGAACAATAAGATGAACAAGAGAAAAAAATAACAAGTTGGATAAAAAGGATAAAAAGTAAAATGTTAAAGAGTTAGCCAACATAAGACGGGATGATGCCTAAAACACGTTGAACGTGCGGCGCCATATATTCTTTTATTTTTCTTCCTTAAACTCTTTCTTCGTCACTCGTTTTCTTGTATCTCTGGCACTCTCTTTGGCTTACCGACAACGCCACGATTGCTTTATATTCGTATTTATTTATTTATTTTTTTCCATACCTCCTTTTACTGTCTTTTTTAATAATTTCGCTCACGTAATTTATATACAAAACATGTATTTACATTTATTTAACATGCATTAGGAACACAAAGTGAATGTAGCGAAATATTAAATCAAAGTATTCACAAAAAAGAGTCCAAAAATAATTGAAAATTCATTTTTTTTCATTTAATAAGTAATTATTTTGACAGCAACGGTAAAGCAATAAAAAAAAACAAAATGGAGTAAAATAAAATAATTAATTACATAATTATTGTTTGACTTTAAATAAATTATGCCGAGTAGGCAAATCAATTAATACAATTTCCGTTATTTGTTTGATAATATTACGGTACTTTATTAACATGGTTTAACAGCAGATCATTGAAATCTCTTGAGTTATTCATCAGGATTTTTCCTTAATTTATGTACCGACACATGTAAGTAGTTTCGCATATCGATCATAATTAATGCATTTTAAATGATTGTAAATTTTAATTCAATTATATAAACTTTCGTGAAAAAAATTAATCGAATATGCTAATAAACATTCATTGATATTATTAAGATTTAATAGACGTTCAAAAAAGTTCCATGGATTTCAATGAAAAATTTAAAAATTCACAATCCAGGGTGTATTTTTTTTATGATTAACTAATAGTTAACAAGCAAATGCATATAATAACAAAAAAAATTCAACAACTACGGAAAATGTTATAAATAAAAAAATTCCTTAATTTCTGTAAGATGCACCAAACACCAACCTCCAAGTTTTCATCGCCCTCCGATTACGATAAAGATCTAGATCTCTCAAGCGGCGCAACAAAAACTGTATAGGTAAGTGAATGAAAGGACTGAAACCTCACACTTGGGCTGGTAATTAACTAGTTCACCCCTTCATTCTAATATATAATTAACAGCACAAATCACCGATTTACTTACCGTAAAAAGAATTATTTGATAAAATGAAACTTAAATCACTGACAAAAATGATGTTTATGTTGATGAAATTTCGCACTTTAATCAAAGACTTAGGTCATTTTTAATAATACTTCCATTCACTTGGTCATACTTAAATAACCGTTTGCAATCAAAGCGGAGTATATTCTCGAACAATTAGTGTGGCTACTTGTATATAAATATTTTCTTTTTAACAAATGAAATATTCAAGCATTAAAAAGCGAACGAAGTTGAGGTGATTGCCGAACAGAACCCGTGGCACGAAGCTGTGCTGCCGATCTCTCTTCTCTCGACTGTTCCTCTACTCCACTCTCTAACCACCTCCAACCACCTCCTGCTTGCTTCTATAAAAGATATCTTCTCTTTTCCTTACATCGAGACGCGATCAGTTGTCTCGCTCATTCTCGCGAGTGATTCAAGCGATTTCAGAAGGAGGGAGTGGACTGAAATGAGTAGGAAGAGGTAGAAAACTACCTACCCACCACCGTGCACTGTAAAAAGCAAAATCGCCTCAGGCCTTACACCTCGAACCAGTAAAACTTGTCGTTCCTCTGGTAAACTTAAACTTCCAGTACCTACACTATAATACCAATATAGTAGGGCTTTTATATGAATAACTTTACCTAAATTCATTTAATTATCTTTTATTAACAAGATATGTACATTCTAGCTACATCATCACACAATTATAATATTCTTGATCATTTTTTTTTAGAACCAAAAGAAAAGAATTTTCAAAAAATTAACAATTGTTTAAAAAAATACCAAAAAGTATCAATTTTGAGTAAATTTGCTTCCAATTGATCAAGAACAGTAGCAAGATTTTCTTTAGAATTGGAAAACCTTCCTGGAATAGTTGAGAATCTCGTGGATATTCTCGCTGGTTATTTTGCACTAGTGTTAGTTTTTACACATATGAATCCACGCGTGGCCATATATTCATATACACCCCATTATCTTCTCACTTTTTCTTCTTCTTTTTCACATTATACCTACAGGCATCTTTATAATCTGTATGGGATTTTTTTTCCTCTTTCTATCACTATCTTTTAAGCCCCTGTTTTAATGGCTACTTAGTAATCTATATTTCTACCTCAATATTTGTACGGTTTTTAATCAAATATTCGGCTCTATATCTAATTAAAACTTTTGGATAGTTATTAACTCTCTAGTATTTGTAGAAAAAAATTTATTTACCTTTTTTTTTCTCAATGATAATCATAGTTTGACATCAACTTCATATACTATTATCAAAAATGTTTGAAATACCTAGAGTTATTTATCCAACAGTACTTAACATTGATCATGGTCGTTTTTCATGATTTGTTGAAGTTTGTTGGAATAATTATTATAAATAAATAAGAACGTTTATCTGAGCTTTATTACTTAAGAGTTGCACATAATTATAATTTCATGTTGAAAAGAAGTCTCTTTGTAATGTTGGTTATCAGGGTAATTAAGCAAATGAATTTTCTAGGACTTATGCATGAATAAACTACTTAGAATTCATGTAAATAATATGCAACTAACATAAAAATACAATGTGAATTTATATTTGTTTACTAGCATGTTTATTTCTTCAATGAATTTTTCTAGTATTCATTGACGCCTCTGTCAACCTTGACTCAACCTCATCTGTAAGTTTCCGTGACTTCATTTTAAAGCGTCAATGAGCCCGTATCTGCATCCTGTCCTGCAATTGGATGTTCAAGCAACTGACAGTCTTCTACATAAGAGAATGCACGGAAATATCAAATCGTTTAACAATAGCCGTCAGAAAGATAACAATTGACCAAGAGCTACAACTGTACGCAAAACCATACGAGGACGTAGACAATAGTTTAAGTGGGGAATATACTTGGTATTTGTAATAAATGCTCGATTCCAAAGAAGTAAAATTCAGTATTGTCAAAGAATTCAATGTTAATTATTTAAACATTAACTTCTTTTTATTAGACCCACCTGTACCAAGTCATGTTGATCAACATGACTAAAGTTTTCATCATTTTATTATTTCTATCTGTTACCAAAGCAACTCTATGGGGGTGAGCAACTATTTCTTTCATTTATCTCAATTTACAATTAATGAAATTTATTCATTAATATACTCAAGTATTTTAACTATTGCTATTCTTATTGGCTAGCATTGAACAAGTCTCTCATGATGACCCGGATTCATTACACATGCTGCCCTTCACAAAATTTCAAGTATATTGGAACGTACCGACGTTTATGTGTCATCAATATGGAATATTTTTCAATCAAGTTTTTGATAATTTTGAGATAATTCAAAATTCTAATGATACTTTTTTAGGAAATAACATAGCGATCCTCTATGATCCAGGTTTCTTCCCAGCTCTACTTAAAAATTCAAACGGTAATAATAATTGAGCCAGTCTTTGAATTGTTCAGATTTAAAAAATGGATTTATTTGTAGGCACCATATATATTCGGAATGGTGGAGTACCACAGGAAGGTAATCTTCATAAACATTTAGAGATGTTTAAAGCTCATGTTCAAGAACAAGTTGATTACAATTTTTCTGGGCTTGGTATCATTGACTTTGAGAGCTGGCGACCAATTTTCCGACAGAATTGGGGAAGTCTAGCTCATTATCGGGATTATTCATACAAAATTGAAGAAAAACGACATCCCTTTATGAATGAAAAAATAATTAAACGTTTAGCTACTAAGAGATTTGAAGATTTTGCTAAAATTTTTATGGAAGAAACCATAAATTTAGCTAAATATCTTCGTCCAAATGCTTATTGGAGTTACTATGGGTATCCTCAATGTTTCAATTTAACTCCTAAACAACCAAATACACAATGTGATAATCAACTTCGTAAAGAAAATGACGAGTAATCACTATAATTTATTAATATGTTTATATAATGAAAGTTCATTTGTATTAAAACCAAACAAATGTCTCCTTTAGGATCTCGTGGTTGTGGGAACGAGAAAATGCTCTATTACCGTCAATTTATTTTCCCAGAGACTTGGATGTAAAAACAAAAGTAGGTTTAATTAATGGACGATTGAATGAAGCTTGGAGAATTGCGAAAAAATTCAAACCCTCAACCAAAGATATTACCTTACTTTTGGTACAAATATAGAGATAGTCAAGATACTTTTCTAAGCTACGTAAGAATTATTAAAATTATAAAATTAATATTTTTTTTTATCCAATTTATCTTAGAATTGATTAATTATCTACTAAATAATGATATTAAAAAAAAACTTAATGTTTCAGAATGATTTAATACATGGTTTTCAAGAAATACTGAATCAAAAGGTAAATGGTTTTGTAATTTGGGGAAGTTCTAATGATGTCAATACACAACAGAAATGTTTCGAGTTGAGGAATTATTTGAATAATATCCTTGGTCCACTTGTTAAACAGATGATTGACATAGCGAATCAACGTAATATAAACACTGCTAATTCTATTACTCTGGAAAGATGATTTAAATGAACAAATCATTTCGAAGTAGATTTATTTGTTTTAAAAATTTTATTGTTGTCATTTAAAATAATTAAAACCCTACCTATGAATTCAAAATAATAAATTGGAATAGCATCTGAAATCAACAACTTATGAATTATTTTTTGCGCATTATTTATTTATTGACCATTTTATTAACTTTGTTTTTATTTTAATTCTATTTTTTCAATAGCGAATAAATATATAAATTACAAACATATTTGTAACACACTGGACTTTAAATTTATTAGCAAATAAGTGAATATGTATAGAAATTTTGATATCTTTCTATTTTTTTTGTTACCTTATTATGGTTTTTCTACATTATTCTTAGAACACGTCATTGTAAAACAAATCAGATACTTTTAAATAAGTCTTTCGACTAAGATCCAAAAAAAAAAAAAAAAACTTTGATAAAATTTCTATTTAGAAAAACACGATTGAAAATTAAAATTTTTTTTTGTTATTGTAATGAATTGTTCTGCTTTTAATCAATTTTATCGAAAAATTTGAAGATGCTTGTGTATTATTCCCTATTTATCAATTGCTTTATTAATCAACTGTTGTTATTTTTTAATTATAATGCTTACAATATTCTTATTGTAAAACCAAACCAATTTTGTTGGACGTCATACTTGGACATCGCCAGTTATAGAGGTAGTATTGCAAATTACCATCACCAATGCCAAACTTTAAGTTCTCCAGGAACTCTTTGTTATCCATTAGATCTAATGCATTAAATACGTCGAAATCCAACTAAACAAACACATCAATAGTAGATTAATATTAATACAGAATAAAATTTTAACAAAATTATCATTGCTAATGGCTATTTAACAATTCAAACGATTATTATATAAATGAGACTCACGTTTCGAGCAGATATTAAAGCATCTGTCATCAATTCAACCCATGGCGTTTTTGTTGAAACATTATAAAAGCTATAAGCAGCACGTAAGGTTTTATGAGTTTGATGATGCATCACTGAGCTTGGTAAGGTATAATAACTGACCAAATCTGTCACTATTCCGTCATTTTCAACAACGAAACTATTTATTATACCACTCTGAGGTAAAAACCAATGTTTAAATTCTTCTTCCGTAAACACCGGTGCTAAGTCAAATTTTTTAAGGTACTGAAATTTAAAATAGTTTAAAATCTTAAAATATCATGAAAAAGTATGAATTAATATAATTAAATAATATTTACCTCATTCAGTAACTTATGCGCTTGAGGTACATCTTTTAGTTCTAATTTCCGGTAACCAGGCACTTTCGGGTTTTCCGGCAATTTATAAAACTTCAAAGTTCTTTGCATAGTCATATTCCGAGATAAATGCGAAAATTTAATTTCAATTAATTTTTTAGGATTCAAGGAACGATGCCAGTAACGACACGCCGCTATTGGTTTTGGCAAGACAACACCAGCAGTATATGCAGCTTGGAATATTCCTTGGAGATTAGCTCGCCTTGTTATTTCTCTTATCAATACTGGAGCCACACGTTTCGAGCGTAATTTTTTGTGAACACACAGAAAATTAATTTCCACCATTTTCTGCATACTGTAAGGTATTTAATATAATTACTCATATTATGTTATTTATTTTATATCTCAATCTATTTAATTAAAGAATATCTTACTGGTCATAAACTCGAAGCGTTGCTGGAACAGCAGAAATGAAACCAACTAATCGGCCACTTTTTGATACTCTCACTCCGCAATGCCATTCTTTACACCATCCTGGAGGCTGCAAAGCCCTGAAATAAACGAACATTTCAATTTGATAATTGATATGATATTGTTTTGAATGTTAGATTAATCAATTGATATAATACAAACCATTTTAAGAAACTTTGCGGATAATCAAATCTGAACATTGCATCATCATCTTCGACATAATTTTCTGATAACAAAGTATAAAGTTCAGCCAGAACAAGTGGATCATCAAGATTCAAAGTGTCCCATTGAAAATCAGCTGGTAAAGAATATGGCTCTGGCCTGATGGACGTTTTATTTGGTTCAATAGGTTCATTCACCACGATTTTTTCATCTAAAACAGTAAATTATTAACAAAATTGATCGGTAATAAAACTTGTGTTAAACTTAAAGTTCTTACCCATTTTTGGAACTGGCTGAGTGCTCCAAAATTGATAAGCCTTCTGCATAGCTTCTTCTTGGGTTTTTGCTGGTTTATGTTGTAATTTAAAAACTTCCATAGCCATCTGAATTTCTTTTATCGAGAAACACGTTCCAGGCATTTCTCCAGACTGAGTAGTTAGCTCATTATGATTTTCTCCAGCAGAACTAGCTGCTTGATTTTTTTTCTTCCGATCACGTTTTTTGGAACTGAATCATTTTTCAATAAAGTTATAATAATAAAAATACATTGATTAATTAAATTTTATATTAAAATCCTTGAAGTAAATAATCAAACAAAAGTGAATTGAATATGGGAAGTGAATTCATTTCAAGGGTGTTGGCATTTTTTAAGAGAAAGTTTAAAAATCCCGCCACTTGTTCACTGAACTTTGATTGGTACATAATGCTAAATAAATGATTTAAATCATTAATAAACCTGTTTTGGTATTATGGCGTGATACAATAGAGTTTTACCAAATAAGCTTTAATTGGTATGGGAATTAAAATCTTTTGAAATATCTTTATAAAACATTTTTGAGTACCGGTTGGGTAAAAGCAATCACTACTTAATAATAATAAATGGATAATCTATAAAACTTAATTATAGTAAACAATTATGGTAATAATCTATTAATAAATGAAGTTTAAATACCTTTTTGTTTTACTATCTTTCTCAGCATTTTCTACTTTTTTCACTTCACGATCCGTGACTTGATTCTTCTCCTCCATTTTATAATATAGATTTTGAGTATACACTGGCGTCACTTTTCCGGTTGCGGTGCCAAAGGAATTTCCCAAGCGTAACAGCCAGTCGATAAAGAAAATAGCTGTAAAAATAAATTACCGACAAGAAATATATTATCGACATATGATAACAACTATTTCTCAAAAATTTGATTGTTCATTTTTAAAATGTTTTCAAAATAATGTAAAAAAATAATTATAATTATTAATTTAACATAATAGTATTTATAATTTGATTATATCTCTTTATATTTTTTTTTTATTGATAAAAATGCATAAAGTAAAAATTCTTATGTATAATTTATAATATTTAGCGTTGTATAGTTAAATAAAATGATTAATTGAAGTTATGATTTAAATGTTTTAATGATTTATTTGTTTTGATTCATCATATTAACATGAAATTAAAAAAAAATTACTTCAATCATGATATGCACAAAAGTATAAAGCAATAAGAATTATTTTCAAATAGTATGACAATTGACTATCAAATAATTGCATCGAACAATTTTTTTCCAATTTTTTTTTCTTCCCTTTGGATTTTTCACGTCTTTTGCGTGAATAAATGGCATTTGTTGAATTAGTTGGTGATTCAATATTGCAGTAACTCATGTCGCAACAGCTTATGCATATCTAGAACGAAATAAGCGAATTTATTTGACAATCATTGTTACAATTTGATTATTCAGTTTAAAAAATTCGTTATATTCCGTACCGTCTGTGTGTCTATTGGAATACAGCCGACGGATGCCGGACTACATTCTTTACTACTTGCACAGCTTTTGTTCACCTGTTGATCGAATTAAATAAATACAATATCGTAAATCATGATTTAACTCTGAAATTCAATTTAACTCAGAGATTTCCAATTAATTAATCTATTAAAGTCATTCATTCCCATGATTTAATATCTAAAGGAAAAAAAATTTTACCAAAATTTAGAAAATAATGGCAATAAAAGTTTTAAAGCCACAATTGAATTACTTTTTTGTTCTTTTTGTTTATCAAGTATGCCAATGTAAAGTAATTAGGATTAGGATAAACATAATAATGTCTTTTTGTTTGAGTATTTTTTTAAATAATATAAAGTTAAAGTAAAATGAATTTTTATTAATTTTTAATAGAATAACAATAAAGAAAAATAATTTGATATAATAAATGTTTCTTGAAGAAGGGTTTTTATCAAATTTTCCACAATTCAGTCCTTATGGAAGAAGAAAATTGGGTCATTCCAGAATCCCAATATCACAATGTGTTCAATTGTACCTTTGAGCATGCGCACATTATTTTAATACCTATTGTATATACAATTGATGTTAAGAAGTAGAATCAAATTTATAGCTTATCATACCAGAGCGCTATTACCACGGCTGTCGAGAATATGAAGTGAGCGACAAAAATCCTTTCCATCACTTGGACAAGGAGTATCTATTGCCCATTTGTTGCACATCTGCAGAGACATTTAAAATAATATTTTCGAAATGATATATCTTTTAAGGTCTAAAAATAATTTTTATCCACATAGCATTGTATAATGCATAAAAGGCTTATTCAAAACTGGGTTATTTTTTCAATAAAAATACATTTTTCTAAAGTAAAAGCATTTATACCTGGTTATCGCTGACGTTGACGCATGTATAACATGTCAGACCTATTGACAAATAAATTTATAAATATATCAATGTAATAAAATTTAAATACATCAAAACTTAAATTTTTTTCACGTTTAATTAACTTAGAATGGCACTTGAGTTTTAAATAAATTTAATTAATTACATGTTTATTAATAAAAATTCTTACGATAAGACTCGTCGTCGTCTGTTACAGTCTTTTTCAAATTATTGCTCTTTAATTTGACTCTGTCGAGACCAGAGTCGTTACTGATTTCGAGGTTTTTTCCATATGTGGATTCCGCAACTAGGAGCAACCCAACCATAACCAACGTGATCATACCTTACATTTCTGCAAAAGAAAAAAATATTTACAATTTTTTTTTACATAATTATCTATAGTAATTAAAAAAAAATTACATGATTAAACTATTAAATATGGGAATATTTTGTATAATAAAAAATGATTTGAAGATTAGTAAATATTCACTGATTTCCTACAATAATTTCTTTAACAATTTATTTGTGATAAATATATATTATTGCTAATATAAATATGTGTATCATAAAAATAAATAATTATTTACTATTATCAATAAAATTCTTACTTGCTTATTAGTCACTAATGCTAACACTGATATTACTGTAATAAATCCTTACTATATCTAATTCATAATTATTATTTTCTTAATTATTGCACAGAGGAAAATATTCTATTATTGTAAAAAATTGGAGGATGATGATGACAATGTTTTTGAATCAACTGCCAGTGTACTGATAAACGAAAGGACTTTTATAAAAGATATATTATACAGAGTACCAAAAATATACCATGTTCACGAGATAAATTTTCAAAAAAAATGAATTTTGTTATCACGAAGACTCAATTTATTCACGATTATCGTTTCTTTTTTTTCTACATGTTCAAATGATAAATGTTTGTTATAAAAATCGTTACATGAAAACTTGATAAAGCTGCAAAAAAATTATCTCCTCCCAAACTCTATCTATTATTGCAGCAGTTTTCTTTCGTTGCAGTTACAATTCAGCACTTGTTTGTAGCTGTCACAGATTTTCTCTTTATTGCAACCACAGACTTGAATTGTATCTATAGGTTTTATTTCCTCTATAGACTCACCGAAAATCAAGGATATCGCAAAAACAGACCTTTGATCTATTACGGTAACAATATATTTTTCAACGTTTCAATCTGGCTTGACAGTATTTAATTAGATTGGAAGAACACAATGGTTGAGTACAGTGGTTAAGAATTAAAAAAAGTTTTTTATAGGCCAAGAAGATAGATTTTTAGGTTGAGGATAAATGGACTAGATAATTAATCTTTTGAAAAGGTATAATCAATAATTAATTACTAAATTGTACCATATCTATTGTAAATGTGTACAGTTTATTGAATATATTACATATCCTAATTATCATTAGTAATAAGTAATTTCCATCAAATAATAATTAATTTTTTTTACTTAAAATTTTTTACTGATAACTGTTATAAATTTTGAATCTATTGCAGTAACAGATTGAATTTATTGTATCTATAACTAATTTATTTCAATGGAGTAAGCTAATAATATACAAACTTTACTGATATGGAAGACAACGAAATACAACGAAGTACAATACGATTGTAACAAAAAGAGAATTGACTGTATAAAATTATTTTGGAAATAGATATTCTATTTACTGCAACCCCTAGAACATTTTCCTCCATATAAACACAATACCATTTAAACAAAAAGAAAATAATTGATTCTCATGAATTTGATTACTCCTCCCTAGCTTGTAAAACAACGCGCCATGCATTTTTATAAATATCGTTTAAAGAAAAAATTGTGTTTATTAACCTCATTCTATTCATGTGTATTGATGTTTTTTTTTTCGTCATCCTAGATTTTTAAATAATTGAATTAAATATACCAGACATTTATAAAAGAATAAATTAATTTTCAGTGACAAATATAAGTATTGTTAGTATACTTTATTCTGTTTATTTATTAATCCAGATGAAAGCATAGTCTATAGGATGTGCAAGATAATCCACTAATCAGAATCCATTGCGGTGATGATGAAATGAAGAGGTTTTGTCCTCACCTGATGCTGTTATACTCAAATAATCTACGACAGCCTATGCATCTATGACTTTAACGAAGCTTCTTTTATTTGGTGACCTGAATTTGTGACATTATTCACATAAAAACTGGTAGGTCAAGAACCGTCTGATCTAATAGAATGCCAGTAACTGGAAAAAAAATGGAATAATGTGATAATTAAACTTATTCAAATGAATTTAGAGTTCATGAAATAATAAAAAAATGAAGTTAAATATTTTACAACAATGTTACGATCATTGACATTCATATGTAACGATAAAAACTTGGGTACTACATAATAAAGTTCGAAGTAAAAGCCTTCTGAAGAGTTTGAAAGTGACAAAGTCGCAGACGTATTACAGTGAAAGAGAAAAGTTTTATTACATTAAAAACTACCACCATAGATGGTAGAATCGAAAAAATGGCTGCAATGTATATGTTAATATGCAGGAAATTTAAATTATTAATTGTATAATTTTTCGGAACAAACTTTTTATGCAAACGATATCAATAAAAAGAATATTTAACTCTTCATGTTTGAAAGTTCAATGTATATAATCGACATAAACCATACTTAAGCTAAAGCAGTCCTCGAGGATTAAGATTAAAAGCTTACGGTTAAATAAAAAAATGGTACTTTTTCTTTCCTACCATTTGTATTGTTTTTTTCTTGAATTTTCTCCTTCTTTTGTTCATAGACTTTTTACAGACCATTTGGTTTCTATCGATCGAAAAATCAATAAATGTGGTTGATATTTTTTAATGAAATTTTGGTTAATAAACTTTTATTAAACAACAAAGAAACCATTTATTATTTAACTTAATTTTTTAATCTGTTTAAAATTAATTTTGACACATTGATATTTCAAAAAAAAAGAGAGAAATATATTTTTTTGCTTTTTAATAACCGTCAAATAAATAACGATGACCGTGTCGTAAACCACGTCAATTCTACTTGAATGCGAGGATATTGAGAAAATCATAAAACTTTTCTTGCATTTTTATACAATCTTATATCTGCTTTATCTCTGTTTGATTGTATGCTAAAAAAACATAACGATATCTACACACGAATACTAGGATAAAAAGTATTATATCTTGAGACGAAGTTACACTTTAGGATATCCGATCGTATATAATATATATTATACGACGGATTTCCTTGATATAGGTACTGCACGTGTGAGTTCTTCTCGATATAGAAATAAAAATTGTAAAATATTTTATAGAGGAAGATTACATGATCTTTACTGTATTAATTAAAATCAAAAAGGAAAAAGATCAGAAGAATATTTGATTTAAAAATATTAAAATTTAAAATCAGTTATTAATTGAGTGATAAAATTAATTATAGTCGAGTAATACGAGAGAGGGATAAAAAATCAATTAAAAAAAAAAAGAAGAAGAATTTTAATTCATTATAACAGATTTCGCGCCAAATGTGATATGAAATGGAATGATTTTTTAACGATGAAAGTTCTACTACTTGTCTGTCGATGGATTTTTTTTCTTTAAATGACAATTAAAGAAAAAAAATAGAAAAACAAATACCTTCATGCAAGTAATGACATTGAGTAAGTGTAGGGTACATTAAAATTCCAGTTACAATTAACATAGTCTGAGAGTAAAATAATATCATTTAGGGATGGAAATGTTAGTGTAGAATTAAAAGATCTTAACTAAAGTTCAGTGAAGTAGATAATTCAACAATTGAGCGACGTTAAATTAATAAGCTATCATTCCGATTTTTAATTAAAAATCAACTCACTTGGAACGATCAAAATACACCAGAGTATGCATTTGTTTGCAGTTATTACTATCTCATTATTTAGTTCATTTTTTAATTAAGATAAAAGTTTTTTCTAATCACACTTTCGTAATTAACATTACTCAAGACACTTTTTTTTAATATATTATTATGGTCCTTATTTTCTTTATACATTTATTTTAATAATGTTTACTTTGATAAATGTTATTATTCTTATTTTTATAAAATCATTTATTAAATTTTCTAATATAATTATAATAAGAATATTTATCACTCAATAATATTATTAAATTCATTTATTTATCTTTTTTGTCAATCATTAGACTTTTCTCATCACTTTATTCATTATTTCTTTTTTATTTTTATTCAATTCCGATTGTATTCACTGTTTTTCTTCAACACTTGAAAATCCTGTTATCTCTAAAAAAAGACAAACAATGAATTTTAATGAATGAGAACGAAAGAAAGATGGAAAATAATAAAAAGAGTGCGAGAAATTGTGGTATTCAAACCAAAAAAAAAAAAAAGAAAAATAATAAATGTGAAATAATAAAAGGGGGGAAAAAATTAATTAAAATTCAATTGTAATAAAAGTTTAAAAAAGTGCAATGGAAACAAAAGTAACTCAACTGTACATGGGAATGTATACCATCATGTGTCACGAAAAAAATACAAACTTCGTTACATCAGTTATAATGCAAATCCGCACTCTGTACTATTTAGTTGTATCCACTCTCTTAGCTCTCTCTGCGCCAACAACAGCGCCTGTGCGGTTCAAAGCAACGCGCACAACGCACTGAGCCCACGATTGAGCCCGGGAACTCGGCGAGCTACCCCGAAAATCAGCTGTGAAGATTCTTGATTCAATACGCTCGAGGTCATACCGTAGAAAGCAAGAACATCATCAAGCATACAATACATACCATTATGATCATAGATCATTTATTAATCACATTTATTTATTACTTTCTTATTTTAGTAACAAAAAAGAAGTTATTATTTATCCATCCATATATTCCATGAAAATTATATTGCTAATAATCTCATTGAATTCGTTGATCTATAATTCATTAGTTGAGTACAAATATTTTAAATGTAATGAATGATAATTATTATTTAATCAATTAGAGCAACATGTTGATAAATTTTGTTTGAATAAAAAAACACTGTTTACCTTCCGATGTAATAAATTATTCAACAGATGGTAATACTACCTGTTGAACAGTCGGTAAATAAATCAATTGAAATGAGGAAATTGATATTATCGATTTAAAGTGACAATATCGGTAAAAGAGATTTCATTTGAATTTGATTTATTCAAAAAAACTCAAATAAACATTTGGTGATTTAATTGATTATTAATTGTCATTTTAATTGTTTTATGGAAAATAGTGTCATGATAATGGGTTATGAGAATTAAGATAATAATCAATTCTTTATATATTGGTTTTAAAAGATATATAATTGATATTTTATAGTTTATGTAGAAGAAGATTCGTTTAAATCATTGTCCATTGTAAAACATTACATCAGAAATGAAATATATGTTCTCCAGAAAATATTGAAATAATATCATTTTGAAAGTTTAAAATGGATTTCAAAAAGTAAACTATTTTCATTCACTTATATTTTATGACTACTTAATTATATGGTTTATCCACAAGTACGTTTTATGGTTTTATGTTCTTTTCGAACAATAATTTTATTAAGAATATAAATCTTGACTTTATATGATTTAAGACATTAAGTAAAAAGTATAAAAATGTATTATCTATAAATAATTAATTTTTTATTAATTACAAAATATTATAATATAATAAATCACTACTAAATGACATTTCTAAATATGAGCATACTAATTAGCAGCCTTAGGAGTAGTGAATTTTTTTTTCTTATGTCAACGTAAGGTTGAAAATTTTTTGATGTCTTTTTTGACTGCATATGTCTGTCGTTTTATTATTTTAGATGGCGTTTTAGTGAACTTTTTTCTATTTCTTCGCGTGTTCATTTAATCTGGCTGACGATGCCAACGTTTAAATTCTTACGAAGCCATACCGGACGACGAACCAGCTCACGTGGAATTCGATCAGAAATATTTAACGTGGCGCTCTTCTTTAAATCCTTGAGTATCTCCCCACTCTCTATCATCTAGAATTGCAACTTGGTGGCGCATCTGATTTTTACTTGCTCTCGCCTTTGGCATTTAATAAATGCATTTCTCTCTTCTCTCAATTTTCTTTCTTTTTATCCATTTCATTCTCATTCGTGTTGCAATAATTCCAAGGGCTTCCGAAAGAATTTAAATTAGCCGGCATATCGAACTAGCTGAAATTAATTGATTTATGGGATCCAATCGGAGCGGATCATCACAAAGGACGAATAACCGTAGAGTTTGTTGTAAGGGACATAAGAAAAATGTCATCGTCTCAGCTTTGTTGCTCCATTTCATTCCCCTGGCGCCTACAACTTTTGTATCATTCAAAAAACACTCTAGTTTATATTATCTATTTAAATTTAAATTGACATTATTTTATATTACTTAGACTTGTCATCATTTTTATCCTATTTGTTTTTCTATTAATTTATAGATTCAAAGTTTTTCTGGTGTTTAAGTCAGAAAAACATCCTAGAGATAGAATAGTCAAATTTTCAAAGACGTGTCAATCTAGTTAGTTATTTTTCAACGTCAACTGTGTGAAAAAGTAACTCCTACAGTATTCAACGATTTTCATAGAATTTTAAATCCATTTAATCTGCGTTCCGATCTAATGTAATAATAACTATTAAGATATTTAAATTCAATCCATTAAAAATATTTATTCAAGAACTAAACAATTGTTGTTGGAATTTTTTTTTAGAAAAAAATACATTCTCTCATGTATTAAAATATATATATATATATTTGATCATATTAGCATTACGTTTGTAATCATCATTCAACTGATTTTGACATCCGTAGAATAAATACAATATTTCAAATGATTGAAGCGTGACATAAAAAAGGGTAAAAACCGGGTTGCTAATATTTTAACGTACATTCTCCCCATGATTGGAGGAATAGGCAACTTGTACATTCTTATAAAAGTCTCAATGAAAATTCGCGGGTCCAAATTTTCCACACATGATTGAAACTTATCATCCATCAACTAGTAAGACTTTTATATAATGTGTAGTTTTGAACACGAAATTTTCGAGTTCACAACGTTAATAAAACTAATCGACTTCAAGCATTCGATTTGGTGTTAAACTAAAGGGAGAAGAGGGGGGATAGCTTTTTTGGAAACCAAATCCATTTGTCATTCTCGATGGACGTATACGTATAGGGTCATGATCAAAGATCTTTCGTCTTGCGAGAAATCATTTTTTATAAATTTACTTTTTTTATTCTTTCAAATGTTTTTCACCTATCAAGCATCACGTCTTTTTAGGTCTTATAATCGTCATTTTGAAGGGTAAAATATAAAATATGAAAAAGTAAAAATTTGAAAAACCGTTAAAAAAGTAACTAATGTATTCATCGTTGTTATTATGTTTAGAAGGAAGGAATAAGAAAATTTATTCAAAGAGAGAATGAAAAAAAAAAATAATTAAAGGTTATTAGAAAAATAATGGAGACGGAATTTCAGGTAAAATAAAGATTTTAATTCACCATCTGGCCTATAAAAAAATTCTAATTTGCCGTCAAAAGTGACGTTAGAGTCTGAAAATAAGGTAGTTCCGAATACCCGACCCCTTGGGAATGGATTGTGATGAGTGCAGTATGCAGTATATTTATAAAGAAAGAAGTTTTACCCAAGACTCGTGAAGAGATCGCGAGAAGGGTTAGAAAAGGGGGAAATTTACAAAAATGATAAACAGGGTGAATCTTATTTAAATACGAACAAGATCCTGGATTTTAACCCCTCAGTATACTTTCATATATGGTATCCCGGTTTGTCTCGTTTTTCTTTAGTAACCCGCAAGCCTTCCGAAATATACCTGAGTCCTGGGAAAAAATCGCCTGCTTATTCTTTTTTTTTTCCTTTTTTTAAGACCCAAGGGGCCAAATAATATGATGTTAAAAAAGTATAAATAACTGTAATGTACTAAGTAATTTTTCAATCCAACTAACTTTTATGTGATTGCATTAATATTTCTTACATTCATTATTTCTTCTTCCTGACACTATTTTTATCTTCTAACAAACTACT